TCCAAGAAAAACATAATGCCAATGGAGGAAACTCGAACATGGCAGCAGACCAATGAACGCTTTTGCCAAGCTCTCCTAGTGTATTTGCCCCTTTCTGGGTGAACTGTAGGCAGTGGGGTGTTGGGAAATCTTTACCAATAGGCTCTGGGGAGGGGGAAGCCTCCTTTGTAGCATGATTTCCATGGTGTGAATCCTCCCCTCATGGCCATTTTATACCAACAATATGACATCACTACGTGTGGAGCTGGGGGAGCTGGGCAGTCACTCGGCAGTAGACAGTATTTCCAGCAGACAGACGTGACATGATGTAAATGTCCTTGGGCACAGATAGTAGTAAAATGAGTCAAATAACCAGCGAGTGCTGAGTTTTGGTATTTCATACTTTTGTTCTTAATATAATTTATTTAATTGTAGGACTCTACAATTTAATTTTTAATTGTGACCATATACCATCCAGCTTGCATAATTTCTGAAAAAGCAGCATTTCACAGACACTGGTTTCCCGAGAGGACCTTCTCCCTCTAGTCAGCGCACACCTGGGTGGCCTCGCCAAGCTCTCAGGACACCAAATATTCCAGCCAACCCAGGCAATGCAGGGAGACTCTGAGGTCAAAAGTTTCATCCCCTACAGGAAACAACCATGGGCTGGGCTGTCCCTGGTTCCCACACACCAGAAGCTACTCAGGTGCCAGCAAACCTGCAGAGGATAGAACCTCTGCCCAGGGCAGAACCCCTTGCTGGCCACTGCTGGGATCCAGATGCCAGGGACAGGACTGGCGGGGACAGGATCTCAAGGGGCTGCTGGATGCCACCGTTAGCCCTGTGGTAGGGACCAGGCAGAAAGAGGAGCTACCATCACTCTGTTGTCAGACAGTAGATCAGATTCTGTCTCCTTAAAGTAAGGAAAAGGGGCCAGGGCAGGCTTTCACAATAGTCTTTTATTAAAACCGTGGAACCCCTTCCTATAATGGACAATGACTGACACACACAATAAACACAGTAATAAGTCCCTCAGGAATAAAATAGCTCCAAGGTTGTTCTGCAGCGCCCTCTGGCATTGGCAGGTGGGATAACAGGAGAGTGGTGAGATGCTGGTGTGTCTGGAAGGGGCTGGAGGGCAGCCTCTGTCTCTACAAGGACACAGGAGACAGCTCAAAACAGGTGCCATGTGGCCTGACCTTGTGTTCTCCTGGCCCCTGGTTGTCAGTGACTCTGATGAGGGTGGAGCCCAGGGCAGGATCACTGGGCTCTGAGCAGGTCCTGGAGGTGCAGAGAGCTTGGAGGAGCCACCACAGGTCCAGTAAGTAGTCCCATGAGGCCAGCTGGGGTATGGGTGTGGTGTAGACATCACAACCCTCTTGTAACCCCTCCTTTTGCACCTGGTATCACACCCCACAGAGGAGCTGCAGACAGGAGTGTGACTGATGCAGTTCTCTGTGCAAACTCAGTGTGAGGCCAGGCCTCCTGGACTCATGGTGCCATGGGGATGATGGAACAGAGATGCTGGAACCCAGGACCAGGAGTCAGTGACCCCAACTCAGACCCCAGCTCTGCCACTCGCTGCCTGAATCCTGTGAAGTTCTGTGCTGACTCACGTCTCTCAGCCTCAGTTTCCATCCCTGCCAGGCGAGAATGATAATACGTGGCCACACAGAAGATTAGAAGATTATGTCCAAGGTGCCCAGCTGGCAGAAGATGCTCAATCAGTGTTTCCTCTGTGGCATGTTCTTATGGATGGCAGAGACTGGGGCAAATGTGGATCAGCAGAAATAAGGCCCTTCAGGTCAGTGGTAATTTGATATGGTCTTTTGAGACTTGGAAAGTAGGACTTTCAGGACTGTTCAGAGCAAGCCTGCCGAGACCCCAGCCCTAGGGTCCCCCTCATCCCCACCACAGGGACCCATAGCCTCCGCTGCTCCTTCTTATGCACAGGGCACAGCCTGGACTCTTTCAGAGGGACTTAAGGGGCCCTAAACCAGCAGCTTTCAATCTTGGAACAACCTGAGTCTGGTGGGTCACCAGTCTCCAGACCTACCCCTTGGTTAGATTCTCATCTAACTGTCCCAGGTGCAGCCTGGCAGCAGTAGGTTCAAAAGCCCCTGGGCCATTCTCATGTGCAGTAGAGCTGAGAACCCTTGCCTCAAACCACAGTCTCAGTTGCTGGGAACCACAGCCACTTGGTGTCAGCCCAATCCTCCCGGAGGGGGATGTGGATGGTGGAGGGGTCGCTTCACCCAATGAATCCCACTTCTCTGTGTCCCCTGTGACTGGACCCTCAGTCACACTCTGAAAGCTTTAGTCCAAAGCCCCTGTCACCAGTGGCCCTGTCTTCTACTCCACCTGTCACCTGGACCTCACTGCTCATCTCTCCCTGATAGCCACACACTTGGCTGGGCCCTGCTGACAAAGGGGCCATGACCTCCTTCCTGGAGGGGCTGTCAAGACTGTGGTGGTCGTCTGTGAAGAAGCACTAAGGAGAGAGGACACTTCAGGAGGTGGAAATGCTTCCAGTAGAAATAAATTTCCCCTTTATAATGGTGGGGTCATGCATGACCCCTCTTTGTATCCACAGGTCCAAGCACAGAACCTGATTTGTGGCTGGCACCCATTGGAACGACTCAGGGCAAGCCTGCTGAGCCCCCAGCCCCAAGGTGCCCCTCATCCTCACAGCAGGACCTGTAGCCTCCACTGCTCCTTTTCAAGCTCAGGGTACAACCTGGACATACATGAATGAATGAATGAAGTTGGGATTCCATGTTGGGTTCCCAGCCTCTGAACCTTTTGCGAATTATCAGATGTCTGACTTGTTACTTCGTTCCTCTGATAGATGCGAATCTCCAACCTGCACACCACTCCAGATTCGTGCTTCTTCTGCATCTGCTCAGATCCAGTCCTGGGCTGGTGCCTGTATTCCATCATACTGACATTGCTTTTCAGGGCAGACTCATGGTCACAGGGTGACCCTCAAGGCTTTTCTTAACTGCCCCAGCCTGGGAGGTTAAGGGTAAGTGACCTTCAACCTCCCAGGCTGGGGCAGTTAGGGAAAGTGTGGGAGGTTAAAGGGAAGTGTGTGGGAGGTGATGGCAAGGAGAATGAAAACCAGGAAGAGACAGTCCCTGGGGCACCCTAGCTCCTCTGAATCCTGGTAGGGCCTGAGACTCATCCTGCATCCCATGGAGGCTCACGGCCTCTCACCGCAGTTGCAGGGGTGGGCAGCTCTCAGGCAGCCCTAGTCAGAGTCTGCAGCTATGACCAAGTCTCTCTTGGAAATCTCTGTCCCCTCGTCCTGGGGTCTCCCCTACAGCTGTTGCCCTGCTGGGATCTCATGCAGCTCAACTCACACATCTAGAGTTAGGTTGTCTTGGCTCTCCCCTCCTGGGACAGGGGTCCTGAGGTTGCCTTCATGGGGCAAACATTGGTATTGCTAGGGCAGTACACAAAAGCTCCAATTCCTGCCAAGCCTGAACTAGGAGTCCTGAGCTTGTTTCACTCTGATTTTCTAGGCAAATTCACTGCTTCCTTGGAATGCAGCTCATCCCTTTGTTTCTTCTGAACTCCTTGGGTACCTGTCAGTCCCCTTCTCTCTAGAGACTTCCTACAAACAGGATTCCCTTCCTAAGGGATCTAAGGAGTTTGCTTCTTTCCCTGAACCACCCCAGCCTGCAGTTCTGCAGATGTCCAAAACCAAAAGAGGCAGATCCCTAGAGAAATGGGAGCTCAGAGGCCGACCATTCGTGCTGCATGTCTTCCTTCCCAGTGTGAAGGCCGCCACAGCCAGGACCATAGCCAGGAAGACCCAGCAGGGATGGTAGTGCTGGCCATCTCCTCCACATCAGCCACCAACAGGTCTAGGAAGGAGAGGAGATTGCAGTAATAGAATGGGGACCAGGATGGAGCCTGGCAGAGGAGAAGAGGGAGACGAGCAAAAAAATGCACCTCCTGTGCATGGTAAAGGCAATCAAAACTGTTTGATGGGAAGGGACTAAAAAAACTTAGAAAAGTAAGTGCTAGATGGGAAACTGAGGCCAGACCCGAATGGGCAGCTGAGTGTCAGACTAGAGAGATTACACATTTGTCAGCCAAGGAGAGTCAGGGAGGGTGTTCTGAGCAGAAACTGGGAACTGGGCTTTGGAAGAACAAATCTGGCCTGACTCCAGATGGATGGGAGGGGAGAGAGTTGGGCATTTTAGACCAGCTGGAAAATGATTACAAGAGTCCTAGGTAAGAGGCCCCCAGGACGTGAGCTACTGCAGTGGCTGCAGGGAACAAAAGGGAGAGGAGGAAAGTTAGCCGGTGCCCGCAGGTGCCATCACCCTGTGCTGCTGTCCTTGGCTCCTCGCTCCAACCCCGTTGCATGTACCATGCATGAGACTTACTCTGAATTGCATCTTTTCCTGCAAGACTGTAAGCCCCTCAAGGGCATGGATTTGATCTACATCTGTTTATTTATCTGCCTCTTGGGGCATAACAGGCCTTTGTTAAACATGCATTGAATGAATGAATAAGTGAGGGAAGAGTCTGGAATCAGCTGGACATGAAGATGGCCTGAATAGGAATCAAGATGAGAGAGAGCTGTCAAAGATGCCCGTGGGCAGTACCCTGACCAAGGAGAGGGTACGTGACAACTACTGCTGCCCCATCCACCCCCAACACCATGGCTACCACGTCCATTGACCTGGCCCTAGTCTGGGGCAGAAATCCTGGGCATCACTCTGCAAACATTCATTCCCTCACCCACACCCACAACACAGCAGCAGGTGCGCTCCCTCTTCTAGAGAAGAAAAGTGACATGGCTTGTGCCAGCGGCCAGAACAAATCCATGCTGCTGGCATCCCCACAGCCCTGTCTAGACCCTGATGTCAACACGTCTGCTGTTATAGTTGTCATCATTGTGAGGAATACTGAAATCATTAGTGTTGTTAACATGGTGAAAACAACAAGAGTAACAAAAACTACCGTTTACCAAACACTCAATGACATGTACCAGGCACAGGCTGAGGGAGTTTCTCCAAAATTCCTTTATGTAACTCTCTCAACAGTGCTAAGAAGTAACATTTTCATTTTGCAGATGGGAAGCATGGGTTCTGGGAGGTCAGGTCTGTGGGACATCCAGGTCAAAACTCTCTGGACCATGCCCTTCAACGGGTCCTCCCAGGACCATGAGCCTTGGGGGAGGCGGGAACCAGGTCTGATTCAACTCTGTATGGCCAGGTGTATCAGAGTGGAGTGCTCAAATTTGAGTTGGAACGTGAAACCAAGAGAAACATCCCAAGTCCCCGAGAGTCAGGGGTGTGCGCCTCGCTGGCCAGTGGGGTCTGAGAGCGACCACCTACCAAGGCTCCTCTTCTTGGTGTGGTGGGTCTGCAGCTGGATGGGACCCAGGACGACATCCACCTTTTCCTGGTAGGAGCCCACATCCCTCTTGGACCTCACCACGCAGCCTCGGTAGCAGCGGGAAGAGTAGTCATACGCCCTGCACACCACCATTTTACACTGCAGGTACACGGAGGGGAAGCGGCTGAGGAAGTGGAAGGCGTTGAACCGGAAGCGGGCAATGCCAGGAGATGGCTGTGAGTAGGGCCGGTAGCTTTCATCCTTCACACATCTGGAAGAGAACAGCAGCCCCTTAGCTCTCACCAAGGCACGATTCCTCATGACTCAGCTGTGCCAGGTGAGAAACTCCACAGCCTGTCCTCACCGCCCTGGCCCCCTGCACACCTCACCTTCCTTCTGTCAGAAGGTGTGGCTCAGACCCTCACTGTGGGGCCTGCAGACAAATCCTGGCAGCTGAGGTACCTCACCGGTATCTTTAGGTAGCAAATCCTGTGGGGGCTTTCCCAACAGATAAGCAGGCCCCATACTGCATGGTGGATTGGGGCCTAATCCCACAATGACCACATCCTCGATGGCCCCAGGCAAGCCAGGTGAGTCAGGGAAATAGCTGGAGTTTGGAACCCAGGAGCAGGACCCAGAGACAGGGCAGAAAAGAAAATGACCTTTCCTTCTCTCTCCTGGTGCCAGAGCCAGGCAAGGTCCCAGCTGGCTGCACTCTGAGCAGTGTCCTGGCCCTCCCTCTCCCAGAGTCTCTCTTTCCTGACCCTCCTCAGCCTGCCCTGAGCTCCAAGAGCTGTACTTTCCACACTGGCCTGCAAACCCTCCAGAAGCCCCTACCCCAATATCAACTCCATCCTCTTTCCCTCGGGCATCTCCTCTCAGGTGGTGTCAGAAGGAAAATAACCTCAGGATATACTTACAGAAATTTTCCTAAGATATGGAAGAAGCAGCTTACACTACCCCAGTTATTATAGAACGGTGGGACTTTGAACAACATGGGAAAGAGAAGAGCCAGGACAGCTGGCCCATGGGCCTCAGATGGGCATTTCTCACAGGTGGTGGGTGTAGTCTCCAGGGCAGCCTGGCTGCACCCAGGAACCTGGCCAGGGCCCGCTCCCCTCCTTCTGTCTTCCAGAACTTCCTTCCTTCCTCCATGTGCAACCCAGATTCTCTCAAACACTGAGATTTTTTTTTTTTTCACAGCAGCTCCCTTAGTGGCAAAGGAGGAAGCAAAAATAGCCAGAGGCTTGTTCAGAGGTGGGATCCTTGGGGAAAAGGTTAGGGTCACTCAGAAGCCTCCGGGCAGTCACTGCATTTGTCATAAAACCTTGCCATTCAGGGCTCCACACAGACCCGAATGCCACAGCCAAGTGAAGCCAAGGCTACACCTTGGAATCACTCAAGGAGTGCTTTCAGTGGCCCAGAATCATGCACCTGCCACATGGCAAAGCTGGCAATTCAACCTTGGTCTGCTCCAAATCAATGCTTTTCCCACTATACACAGGTCTTTTTAACCCTATGGCTGGAGTTCAGTCACCTGGAGTCTAACCCCAGTTTACAGCTAATGTACTGGGTGAACACTGCTGAGCTGTCTATTCTCCCCAGGTGTTAAATGGAGATGATACACGGTCATCCTACCTGATGAGCAATCAGGGATGTGATATAGAACACAGAGTAAAAGCACTTCAAAAGGTAAAAGCTACAGGACGCTACTACATGTAGAAAGGGATCTGGTTAAGCTTGAAGCCCTGGGAACTGCAGTTCATCAAAATTCCCATTCCTCCAGCCTTTGAGGCTGCTCATGTTTGAGTTACCAAGTAAAGGTTTAAGGCCATCGCATAAAGACACTCCTTACCCGCTCCGGATTAGATCATAAGTCAAAGACGTGAAGTCATTGGAGTGTGGTGATGCCACGCAGGTGTCCACAAACAAGGCCAGCGTGGCATCAGAATGGAGGATTTCAGCCTGAAGGTACAAGTTCTGGTTCAGGTCCACGTAGTAAGGGCTGCTGGTCACAGGATACAAGAAAGAGGAGGAAGAATAAAAGGAAATGTTCACGTCGAAATTGCCATACTGCACTTCTTCGACCCGGATGGTGTCATTAGCAATGTACATGGTGTCGACCCAGGTGTTCTGAAGCATCCTGCAGTTGACGTGAATAAGGAGGTCCTTCCTCCTCTTGATGATGCCATGGGAGACAGCTGCTTTGAGGAAGCTGGAATAGTTGATGGTGTCATTGTCTACCTACGAGGGGCAGGCAGGAGAGCAGAGTCAGGCACATGTCACCTGCTAAGGGAATCCCATGGCTGATTTGGGTGTGAATGAGAGGGACAACGTGACTCTACAAGACTTCCACCCGTCTCAGAACCACTCAGAGATGGCGTGTGCCTACCCTTTGGCTACGAGCAGGCAGAGGGCGCCAGAGTCCGCACTCTGGGTCCAGGTCTGGGGAAGAACCAAAGGAAGGGGTTCTGCGTTCTCCACCTGCTCTTAGCCTATGTTTTCTGACTTTAAACTGTCTTAAAAAAAGTTTTTTTTGCTTTATATTTCAGTGCCAACAGTTGTCACAATCAACCGTATGACCCTTCTTACTCTTTCCAAGACATTCTCAAGTGCTTTCCATTGAACTCTATACATTAACATAAATATTTGCATGGATGTCACATTTGCATATACTGCCTACGATGGAAGTAAATTCTGCATCCACTCCAAACAACGCACGTGGAATGCAGATTTATTTCTTGGTCAGAAGAAGCAGATCTGATTTTAGATTAAGACCCATTATTAGATACTGCTCAGTTTGGAAGGAAGTCAGTTTGGTGTATGATGGAAAGTTTTACAGATAAATTAATGGGTATTTCCACAGAGACAATCTATCTCGTGGTGGGAGGGCCTCATCTAGCTCAGCCACACCAGCAAACTTTTATCACATACCTGCTAATCAGGCCACCCTGGTGCAGCAGCGGGGAGCTCCAGCCACGGATCGCCCAGCCCTACGGCTGTGTCTAGACTCGAAGGTCATGGCCATTATTGCCTTGGGCAAGTGGCTTACCTTCTGCAAGCCTTCGTTGCCTCATAATTAAGTGGGAATAAAGCTGTCCCGATAATTTTAAAAGTCAGATAGCACACTTCGTTCACTGTCTGACATCCACATGGGCTGTTGATAATACTATATCAACTCTTAGGCTCAGGACTGGGGCACTGGGGGTTGCAAAGATGAACAAAACATTGGCCCTGCCCCTGAGGCACTCACTGTGATGGACATTGTGAGTATTTAAAAAAAATAGAGGAGGCCAGGCGTAGTGGCTCATGCCTGTAATCCCAGCATTTGGGAGGCCAAGGCAAGAGGATCACTTGAGCTTGGGAGTTCGAGACCATCCTGGAACACACAGCAAGATCCCACCTCTACAAAGAAAACCTTTTTTAATTAGCTAGATGTGGTGGTGCATGCCCATAGTCCCAGCTACTCTAGAGGCTGAGGCTGGAAGATCACTGAAGCCCAGGAGTTCGAATCTGCTGTGAGCTAGGATCTGCCCCTGCACTCTAGCCTGGGCAATAGAACGAGAACCTGTCATTAAAAAATTAAAATAGAATAAAAATAAACAAACAAGTGGAGGAATAAGAATGTGGCATGTGCTGTGCATGACCAGCCAAGTTAGAAGAAACAAGGCAACAGGGTTGTCTGGCTGCTCCAAATGGGTGTGAATGAGTGTGAATGTGTGTGAATGGGTGTGAAGGGCCCTCAGCAGGGCCACTCAAGTATCAGTCTCCAGGATGCATACTTGGCACAGGGCAATGGTCACCTTCAGTGGACTGACCTCCACTGACCAAACTCACAACAAGCCAGAACCCAACACAATTAAAGCTGGACACAGTGGCTGACTCCTGTAATCCTAGCCCTTTGGGAGGCCAGGGTGGGTGAATCACCTGAGGTCAGGAGTTTGAGACCAGCCTGGCCAACATGGTGAAACTCTGTCTCTACTAAAAATACAAGAAAATTAGCTGGGCATGGTGGCAGGCACTTGTAATCCCAGCTACTCAGGAGGCTGAGGCAGGAGAATTGCTTGAACCTGGGAAGCGGAGATTGCAGTGAGTTGAGATTGTGCCACTGCACTCCAGCCTGGGCAACAGAGGGAAACTCTGTCTCAAATAAATAAATAAATAATCAACAAAATTAATGTACAGGGTGAAATATAAAAGCCAGTTTGAATAGAAGACATGTGTGGCATGCCCAATATATACTCATCTTTGCAAGTAAATCTACCTGGTCCATTAAAATCCTCTCCAAAGGGGAAATGCTGTATTGGAGTCTAAGGGAGCCAGGTGACCACATGCCTGCTGCAGGCCCTTAGAACCAGTCTCAAGAGCCCATGGGCCCAGCCAGCTGCTACATGAGAGTCCCTTTGCCCCTCAGTGTTTCTTATGTGTCAAAGGAGTGGGGTTGACTTTGCCAGGTAATGAACAGCATGACCTTGGCACCTAGCATGGTGCCTGCCACATGGCGCCAGCCACGCAGCAAACACTCAATAGGAAGTTGGTGAACGAACATGATCCCGACAAACCGAAGCCATCTGAAGGTGTGTGTGCCAACATGCATGCTCTGTGCACTGTACGCAGGTGAGCCATTCATGCCGTGTATACTCTGCACTCCCAAACCAAATAAAAGCATTGGCAACTTTTTCTGTCTTTGACAGACAAAATCTTAAAATAATTATTTAGGTTCGAGACAAAAATTCAGAATTTAGAGTGGCTAACTTAGAATAAATTTACGCAAAGTTAAATGCTGCTATGACAAATGTCCCGTTCAATGAGGCCTGATAATGCCATTGCCACAATAAGAGTCAGAACAACTCCAGCCCAAGCAGCTCCTTCCTGCCCCTCTGCCTTCTGCCCCCTCCGCTGTTCATCCCTTCCAGCCTGGCAGCCGGCAGCCAGGGATCAGCTTTCAGCCATTGCACACTTACGTTCTCTTTCTAAGTTTCATATAAACGGAATCACAGAACACCCACTCTTCTCCATCCGGCTTTCTTTGCTCAGCATATTTTCTATCTTCTCAGATGCCAACATTAGCCCTACCACTTCCTGGCTGAGTAGCCTTGGTGCCTCTTGGCTCAGCCTCCCCCATAAAGTGGGGATGACAACAGGAGAATACTCGATGAGGACCGGGGGACTATGATGAGGACTAATCACAGCACCTGCCACTGTAGGGGCACTACCTGTCCCCATTTGCCCAGAGTGAGGGGTTTCCCGGAACATGTGGGACTTTCAATGCTGAAATCTGCAAAGTCCCAGGCAAACCACAGAAATCTGTGGTAGGAGCTGTTGAAAATTTCAGTATAATCATAGCTGCAGCCACCTTCAAGCCTGTAGAGAAGGGACACGCCATTTTGGCTTCACTTTCACCCAGAATTGGACACAGGAAGTCACCTCGGATGGTGACAGCTCAACAAATGGTAGCTGCAGAGGCCACCTGACTGTGGATCTCATGAAGCTGGAGCTTTGGGGCCCCTCGACCCTGCCTGGTGCAATGTGCAGGCCTCCTCCAAGGCCTGGCAATGTGTTTGCACAGCCATACGTTTTTACAAAGTTTATAGAAGTTCATAGATATTTGCATTCTTTGGCTTAATAAGGCCCCTGCCCCTCTCAACACCCACCCCCAAAACCCTAACTATATATACTTCAGGCCCTGCAAAATCTGGAGCTGCCCCAGGAGCTGCTGTTGTTATTGCTGATGAGAGTGGCAGCCTGCCACATGCCCTCTCTGCTGAACACAGCTGGAGAGACTGTGCCTGCTAAGCTTCCTTCCTCTTATTTGGAAGTGACTGCAGCCATATCACAGCATCAGAGGTTTATCTTCCTTTATTCCAATTATGTCCTGATTATACCCAAATCATAATTTCTATATCCCCAGAATTCAAAAAGCACAGCACATACCACTATAAGAAAGCTCGTGCGCTGGGACACGGAGTGGAAAGCCCCAGGCTTACCTGCTTGATGGTGCCGCAGCCTGAGTAGGGAATTGTGAATATCACCTGGCTCAGCGTTATCTGGGGCCGACACTGGTAGTATCCATTCCAGTTGGAAATGACAAGGTCACTGGCAGAAAAGCCCAGGGATTGGAGGTAGCTCCTGCTCACACTGGCTTGCATGTGATTTGGCAGACAGAGCAAGTCTAATGGACAAGGACAGATAAGACACTGAGCGCCCCAGACTCCGCAAGTATTATGGGGCCAGATGCTCTTTCCACATAAAAAGCACACAGACCAGGGTGGCTGACAGGGAGAGTCAGCACTTAGGATGTGGGCATAGGCCTCACTGCAACCCCCAAAGTACCCTGGGGTCAAGTCAGCCCCAACCTTACGAAAACCCAAGGAGAGCACGTGGACTCAGGATTCCTCTGATGGAGAAGTGGAGGCGGGATTTTTAAATAAGTGGGATATTTGGCCAAGTTACCATTTATCTATGAAGTAAAGTAACTGTATGGTCCAATTGTGGGAATGTCATGAAACGGTCTTTTAGCCATGAAGCAAGTCGATCATTAATCCTGAGTGCGTAAGCCACCCTGCCTGCCATCAGCCAATCTACACCTGAGTCCATACAGCAACTCAAATCATGGCCATCCAATCTCTGCTGGAAGTGGCTGAGTGACCTTATCTCTGCCACTTCCAGCCACTCAGCTCAGTTCATCTTCCGACAGAAGCCAAATGTGTTAGGTCTCAGGCCATCATCACAGTGCCCCTCACTGTGAGAAAGTCACAAGGTTTCAAGCCAACTGGTTACCTCTGCCTTTGGCACTGACTCATCACTCACTGCGAAGAGCATCATCTGAGACCCTCTACTTAGGTCATTACTCTCTGATGACCACAGTAAGGCCAATCAGCATCCGTCAGCCATTTCTAGCCCTGACTTCATTTCTGGGCAGCCAGATTCCCAAGGCCCACTGCTCCTGGCCCCTTTCAGCAGGAAACCAAGCCCTGGTGACCTGAAAGGGTTCCTTCATTTCTTATTTCACAACCACGGGACAGTTGAGCCACAGAAGCTCTCAGGATGTCCCCAGACCCCCCAGAGCATTCCCACAGGGGGACTTACTGGTGCTGTCATTGGAGGGACTGGAGTGGTACTCAGCCCGGAACCCTCTCTTCGTGATGCTGTGGTCGCTGATGAAGCGAATGGACATGAAGTTGGAGGAAGAAGTGAAGGAGCCACTGGCCCCATCACAAACTCGAGTGATGAGAGGGGAACTGTGGTAAGGGCCATCGAAAACTTCAATATAATCGTAGTTGCAGCCACCTTCAAACCTGCAGAGAGAGGACACACAGTTTTGGCTTCATTTCCTCCCAGAAATTGATGCAGGGAGTCAGATCTCAGAGTGGGATCACACCTTTGTGCCAGAAACTCTGACAAAGTTAATCATTGAAAGTCGTAGTTCTCCTTGGCTGGGCGCAGTGGCTCACACCTATAATCCCAGCACTTTGGGAGGCTGAGGTGGGTGGATCACCTGAGGTTAGAAGTTCAAGACCAGCCTGGCCAACATGGTGAAACTCTGTCTCCAATAAAAATACAAAAATTAGCCAGGCATGGTGGCATGCTCCTGTAATCCCAGCTACTTGAGAGGCTGAGGCAGGAGAATCGCTGGAACCTGGGAGGCAGAGGTTGCAGTGAGCCAAGATTGTGCCACTGGGAGTTCAAGGCTATACTGAGCTATGTTTGGGAGACAGAGTGAGACCCTGCCTCAAAAAAATAACAAAATAATAATAAATGAAAGTCGTAGGTCTCCTAAAATCAAGGGAGTCTCATCTTCCTCAGCCTCCATGCCTGGGTTTTAGTCCCGCCCTTTGCGGTCACACATATGAAATCTACAGCCCTTCACCTGTCAGCCCTTTACATGAAGAAAGAAAGGGCTCACATCCTAATTTAAACCATTTTCATTTAAACCATCGAAAAGTCCCTAGTGCCCCCACAGAATAAAATTAATATCCATGTGTTCATAGCGAGAGAAATAAATAATTGAATAAATAAATATAGGACAAGTCAAATAATCTCTTGAAGCTTCTCCTACTTACAAAGGTGAAATTCTGATCCGTGCAACCTGAAGAGGGCCGTGGTGAAGCTCAAATAAAACAACACACAGCAAAGGACTTTGTAAAATGTCACAAACGGTGACGGTCGTTTCTATCAAGATGCCGGTTAAAGAACCGGACCCGGTTAACCTTCTCCCATAGGGCTGCATACGCTTTACGTGCAATCTTTGTATTGTAATGACAAACAGAATAAAATGATGGATCTTTTGTAAAACCCCAAATGAATTACTAAGGCAGAGACTCTGAAGCCCACTGCATACAGAAATCAACAGAGAAAACAATTGTGTTTAACAGTGGCCGTTAGAGAAGACATTAGGGTAGCCCCTTGTTCAGGACACTAGAAAATACTGGCGCCCCTTCACGGTCATCTGGGCCACTCCTTGGATAAATCATACATTAATGTGCTTTGGATGTCAGACGCGGTGGCTCACACCTGTAATCCCAGCACTTTGGGAGGTTGAGGCAGGAGGATCACCAGAGGTCAGGAATTCTAGACCAGCCTAACCAACATGGTGAAAGCCTGTCTATCGTAAAAATACAGAAATTAGCCAGGTGTGGTGGTGTGTGCCTGTAATCCCAGCTAATTGAGAGGCTGAGGCAGGAGAATCGCTTGAACCTCGGAGACAGAGGTTGCAGTGAGCCGAGATTGTGCCACTGCACTCCAGCCTGGGTGACAGAGCAAGACTCCATCTCAAAAACAAACAAAAAACATGCTTTTTGGTAATGTCCCCTCTGCCTAAAACAATGATTTCTACTTCTGATTGGATGAAGAGCAGATACCCTACCCTCTGCAGCAGCAATTCCTCCACCTCTGCCCGAACCCTGGGGACCTCACATAAAGGAAGGAGGGAGTGGAGAAAAAGGGTTCCACAAAGCAGGTACGATTGTTCTTGTGTTGTTTTCCTGAGACAGGGTCTCACTCTGTTGCATGGAGCTGGAGTGCACTGGTGCTGTCCTATCTCACTATAGCCTTGAACTCCCAGGCTCTAGCGATCCTCCCACCTCAGCCTCCTGAGTGGCTGGGACTACAGATGCAGGCCACCACACCCAGCTGATTTTTGTACTTTTTGTAGATATGGGGTCTCCCTATGTTGCCAAAGCTGGTCTTGAACTCCCGAGCTCAAGTGATCCTCCTGCCTTGGCCTCCCAAAGTGTTGGAATTAACAAGCCTGAGGCACCATCCCTGACAAGTGTGGTAGTTAATAGGATTATTTGTGTGATTATTGCCCCTAATGTCATGACTCCTAGCAACCATCTTTTTCCATTGGTAACATTTTGTAAATATTTTCACATCTCTCTCTCTTCTCTCTCTCGTGACCTTCCCAGTAACCAGTGAAGTGAGGAAAGCAGGTATTTTATTCCCCTCTTTTGACTGAGGCTCAGGAAAGTTGAATGACTTCCTGTGGTCACACAGCAAATTGTTGGTAGACCTAGGACTTAAAACAAGAGCTTCTGTCCATTCCAAGGCTCTGTGCCCCCTCCCCTACTCTCCACAGGAAGTCTCTGGGCTAGGTCAAAAACTTCTCCTGGACATACATCTCTCCTGATGCTCTAAGTACCATTTATTCCCTCTTGAAAGGTCTGTGGGGCCCCCCAGGCATTCCTCATGGTACACACTTACTGGACATCTCTGAAGATCACAGTCACACGGTAGTTGCTTTGAACCTCAATGTCCCACACACAGTTGGCATTGTTCGGATAGTTCCCGGGATAGAATGGGCTGGAGAAGTGCCCTGATGGTTGGTTCAGGAAGCCTCCGCAGGAATAATTTGCTGTCAGGACAAAACAGGCATCCTGGTGACCCCAGAGCAAACTGCACTGTCACCTGGGGACTATTTTAAATTTAAATTACTTTAACAGTTTTAAAAATAATTCCCAAGACAGAAATCAAAGAAGAGCAAGAGGTGGCCTCAACTGGGACTGTCCACTGAGGGCTGGCGGGGCACTCTCGCAGAGAGACCACGCTTGGGGAAGCCATCTCCTCCCCAGCTTCATTGTCACCGAGGGAACGGGAAGAGGGATTTCCAGGCCACTCTGCCACAGACTCGTCATGGAGCTCAGAACTTACTGTTTGGATGACTGATGTTGGGAAAAGGAGCTGTTGACAGAAAGAAAAGATCAGGATCAGTTTTCCGGCATCCCTGGCCCAGCTGCCGAGTGCTCGTGGGCTGTGCAGATGCTGGGTCCACAGGGAGGAGCTGGACACAGGCCTTGCCACTGGGGAGCTCACTCACCCTTGGGGAGGTCTGGAGGAGAGCGAATCCCAGCAGAGTGGGAAGAGGCTGAGATTGAGCAAAGCCTAGGGAAGTAGAGGCACTCAGACGTCCAACCCTGCCCCAGATTAAGTAGGGAAAAGAGGGCAGTAATTAGGGGGCAGGCAAAGAGGTAGAAACAGGGTGTACCAGGCAGAGGAACACTGGTGGAAGAGATTTGGGAACCTCCATGTGGACGGAGAGGCAGAGAAGGGGAAGAGGGCACCAAACATAGGGAGTGGATCATGAGGAACCCTGGCGGTCATGCTGTGCTGAGGAGGGGGGTCACCACCAGAAGCCCCTGAGGAATCACTTGAAGGCAGATGCACAGGGGAGAATGGATGGGAGGGGACAGGCCTGAGGCTGCTGCTGTGGGTGGCCAGGAGGAGGATGATAAGGTGAGGGGAGAATGGAAGGCAAAGACCTGAGATGCCAGGGCCATGCTGGGAACACTCAGAGCAGCTCAGCAGCAGGCAGACAGGAGCTCAGCGGTGCAGTGGGCCCCATTCGGCCAACACTGACCAGGGTCTGGTGTCTGGGAGGACAGGCAGGTCTGGCAGATAGCAGGCCTCGCCCTGGGACTGACTAGAGATGTGAATCTTATGTAGACCAGGCCACACTGTCCTGGTGGCTGGCAGGGGAGGGGACAGGAGCTGTAGGGGATGGCACGACAGATGAACTCCTTGGAAAGTGAGCAACTTGCCCTGCACAGTCCAGGCAGCAGCAAGGAAGAGACCCAGACACCAGGGAAGTGGGATGGAAATTGGATGACTTACCAGTTGTTGATAGCTGGTATCCTGAAAAGGAAGAGAAGAAAAGCATAGGTTACAGATGTGTGGCTTGGAGGAGAGACCAGAATGAGGCAGAGAGACACCCACACGGCTCATAACCTGCCCCCCTCGCTGAGGATCCACCAGGTCCACCAAGCGATTGCTGTTGAGAAGCCTACACAGCTTCCCCAGATGTTTCCTAAGTCCCATCGTATTTGGAGTCATCAGGTTTACAGCTGAGGTCATAACACCCATCACGCTCTACTTGATCACGATTGTTCTAAAATCATCCCAATGGTTGTCTGTAGCAAGTACTATGATAGCCACCCTGACTCAATAATCAAGGAAACTGAAGCATGAAGAAGTTAAATCATTGCTGGAGGTCCTTAGTCAGATGAGTGCTCAGCATAATGGCCCTGGGTCCAGAGACTGTCCAAAGATAAAGCGGCCCCCTGCATGCTCTTAGGGAGTGCACAGGCCACAGGGACACATGGACCAGCTCCTGCCTGGGCCACAGACACCATCCGCCACTGGCCTTAAGCTCTCCCTTTATAGTAGGTTACAGGTGGAACAAGCCTTCCATGGCATTGGGCCATACCTGAGCAGATGACACCAGCATCTTCACGGTGATGGCAGTTGTGGGAGAACCAGCCTCGGTTCCGGCACTGCCAGAGCGTGGATTCTGTCCCCACGCATTCTACGTCATCCAGGGTGATGGGGCCAGAGCCAGAGCCAAAATAGGCATTTCCAAGCGCTGAGAGTGCATGTCCACACCCTAGCTGTCTGCAGACCACCTCAGCTTCATGAATGGTCCAGGAGTCATCACAAACTGTCCCCCATGTGCCACGATGGTAAACTTCTACACGCCCGGCACATAGACCATAGGATGAGTTTAAGTTGACCAACCTCAGGCTGGCATCTGAAAGACACATTAACTGAGAGATCATGGCCATGTCCCACCATAAGCCTCAAAGGCCAAGCATCCCACAGGCCTTTCCCTACCCCCAAATTCACTGAATGGAAATGTGGAAAAGTTGGGGTGGAGGCACTGGACTGCTCCATGTAGAGTTGAAAGGGGCTCCAGACATCGCCAAGCTCGGATCCCCTCACCTCCAGATGGGGAGGGGTGGCTCTGCAAGGAGAGTCACCAGGTCTCCTGGAGAGTTGGTGGCAGATCCAAGGCCAGGTGTGACCTCTAGTCTGCACCCTTTGCTGCCTTGCCAAGGGCCTGCCCCTCCTTGAGGCTCACACAGTCAGTGCTGAGAGGAGGAGAATGGCAACGCATCACTGAGACCCTTCTTTGATTTCCTTGGGGAACCACGACACCCCCAAAGGGGCAGCTGGGTAAATCCATTACGCCTCATAGGCATGGTCTAGTGTGCACTTACCGCTTGGGAAGGAGTTATACCAAGCCAAAAAGCCAATGTTTTGGAAACTGATGTCACTTCGAAAGTGAACGGTCATTCGGTTGTAAGAAGATGTGAATATTTGCCTGGTATCATTACAGATTTTCCCCAGCAGGTGGCTGCTATTCAGTGATCCATCAAAGATTTCAACATGATCAAAACTGCAGCTATTGTGTGCCTCCAACCTGTAGGGACAAAATGTATTCAAGTCAACACTGAAATTCCTATTGCCCCTCCATTCTATAAATAGTTTGGACTTTACAGGTAATGCCATTGAATATAGGTTTTTCTTCTAGCTTTTCCTCAATTAAGTCAAAAGACTTCCCAGTATTGCCTGATGCTTTATGGTAGGGATCAAAGCCACCAAAAGCTTGTCCATGGCACATGAGAGTGAAAAGCATCCCAGCCCGGGACACAGTCTAAACCACTGGGTGTGCTGCAGAGGGACTCACCCCTCACCAGATGACCAGGCATTACTTACTGCAGACTACTGAAGCCCAGGTTTATGCGGTAACCGTAATTCACTTCTATTTCCCAAACACACTTAGCATTGTTGGGATAGTATCCAGGGTAGGATGGGCTGGAGAAGGTCCCACTGGCATTGAATAAGAAGCCACCACAATTTGAAGAGGGTCCTAGAGAGGAGAGAGGGGACATCTCCATTGCACCAGGTCTTCAGGTATTTTGTGACAAGCAGTCATCTTCTGAGTAAGTATCATCGGGTTTCATCCTCTGCAATTTATAACATGACTTAACTTTCCCTGTAAACAAGTCCCCTCTTGGGCCTGGTTCTAGGTGGCCCAACATTGGGAGCTTTGATTCGAGTCTCTGCTTTCCCTATTGGGCCTGGACAGCAATCCTCTGGGAGGAAGAGACCTTAGCTTCAGAGGGAGCATGTGTCACCTTGAAGCAAAAATGCCAAGAAACCAACCAAGTGACTGCTATTGTTGCTCAGTCAGCTACAGACAGGGACGTGGGATAACACAGGCTGAGCATATCCCTGATCGTGGAGAGCAGTTCATAACACAGCGCATTCCCTAGCGTTTTCCACGAACACAGAACTCTGCCATCTCACAAGTAGTGCAACGTGGGGTCAGGAGCAGGGTTTCCACAACAGGTAGCCTGGGTTTGCACCTTGGCTCTGCCTCTATCAGCTCTATGATCTGGAGCCAGTTACTTAACCTCTCTGCCTCAGTTTCCTCATCAGAAAAATGAGAGCGGTCAAGGCATCTGCCTCATCAGACTTTTACAGATATTAAATAAGATACATATATACAAACATTTATACATACATGAGATATGTTTATACGTCTATATAAGCTTTTAGTACCAGACACATGAGCACCCAGCTATATGAGCTATTGTTATCTATCAGAAAGGGATAAATACTAAATGGTCAAACATTTTGTTGGTTGACTTATTGTAATAAGAACTTTTGAAAAACATGTGCACACTCCGTCATATAAATTAAAATGTTTTCTTTTTTTCTTTTTCATAACTTTTTGTTTACTTTTTCTAAGGGAGACAAGTCCATGGTTTTTAGCATACTCAGAGCTCTGAAACCACCACAGTCAATTTTAGATTCTTCCTTCACCCCAGAAAGAAACTTGTACTCATTAGCAATCACTCCCCATTTCTCCACACCCTCCATTCCTGGCAACCACTGATTTCTCAGCATGTTTCATCACGTTGTAGCATAAATCAGTATTTTTTTTAAAAAAACAGAGTTTTGCCCTTGTCACCACCCAGGCTGGAGTGCAGTGGCACCCTATCAGTTCACTGTAACCTCTATCTCCTGGGTTTAAGCAATTCTCCTGCCTCAGCCTCCCTAACAGCTGGAATTACAGGCACCCACCACCACACCAGGATAATTTTTAAATATTTTTAGTAGAGACAGGATTTTACCATATTGGCCAGGCTGGTCTCGAACTCCTGACCTCAGGCGATCTGCCTGTCTTGGCCTCCCAAAGTGCTGGGATTACAGGTGTGAGCTACCATGCCTGGCCACTATTAAATTCATTTTTATTGCTAAGTAATACTTCATTGCATGGATGTACCATATTTGTTTCTCGATTCACCATGACGGACATTTGCATCGTGTTCACATTTGGCTACTATGAATAAAGCTGTTCTGAACATTCACATCCAAGTTTCTGTGCGGACATATGTTTTCATTTCTCCTGGGTATGTGCCTAGAAGTACAAGTGGTGGGTCATATGGTAACTCCAGGTCTAACCGTTTGAGGAGCCACCAAACTCCTTCTCAAAGTGTCTGCACCATTTTACATTCCTGGCAGCCATGCATGAGGGTTCCAGTTTTGCCACATCCTCACCAACACTTGCTATCATCTGGCTTTTTGACTATAGCCCACCTACTGGGTGTGAAGGAGCATCTCTCTTTGGTTTTCATTTGCATATCCCTGACGGCTAATGACATTGAGCATCTTTCCAATGCCTTCTCTGCCATTTGTGTATCTTCTACAGAGAAATATCTTTCCAGTCTTTTGCTCGTTGTTCAGTTGGGTTATTTGACTTTTTATCACTGACTACAAGAGTTACTTATATTCTAGGTACAAGTCCCTTATCAGATATATGCTTAGAAATATGTTCTCCCATTTGGTGGGAAGAAAGTGCTTCTTGAAGGTCCTTTGGCCTGCCCACCAGCTCTATTTCTACACTGGGAAATGGTTAAGGATACAGTCAAGCTTTCAGAGACAAGGATATAAATTACGTATTTCTAAAAATTAAATAGAAATAGTTATAAAATATGCTATCATACACAGTCACTTAACATTATAAATTATAATTGAAAAAAATGTTTTTGCCCCACAATAAGTAATCAATTAACTAAATTATGGTCTCTCTACACAATGGAAAATAGTGTAGTCATTAAACCTTCTTCTATACAAATAATTTCAATGCTATAAAAATGCTAATTTTAAGGCCATGAAAAAGTATTGTATACACTTAAATAAAAATGATGGGTTATATAATGGGATATAAAGCATGTCATTCTCTGTGTGTGTGTGTGTGTGTGTGTGTGTGTGTGTGCGCGTGCGTGTGTACAGTGTATGGAATGTATGCCAAAATGCCAACAGTAATTATGTATTTATTCATCAATTTATTCATTCAGTCATTTATCCTTTCAATAAACATTTCTTGAAAGGCAAACACAATGGTAGATAATAAGGATACATTATGAAAAAGGCAGACATGGCCTGGGCCTTCAGGAAATACACAGTTTGGCAGAAAAGATAAACGTGATCTTTTGCAACTGTATTTCCAATTAGCTAACTCTCATACTAAAACCCTTCTGCAGCCTCTCTACCCTTAGGATAAAGATGGGGGTCTTAATCTACCCACAAGGCCCTGACTGATCTGGCTTCACCCAACAGATCTCCTGCAGTCCCTCCTTGTCCCCACCCCATCCTCCTTCAAAGAGCCAAGCTCCTTCCCACCCTGGGGTCTTCAAAGCATTCCTTCTGGCTGGAAGACACTTTGGCAAATGAACTTGCTCCTCTATTAACTCCCAGCTTAAATGTCACTTTCGTAAGGAACTTCTCCTAACTCCCCAATTGAGGAAGATCTCTACTAACACTTCCTCTTTGCACACTGAACTTTTCCTTGGAAACACTTGTCACACCAGTCTAGTTGGTTGAGTATTAAATAATATTGTTAGCTCTGAGGAAAAGGATCACTTTGTCTCTGATGTCATTCCATAATTTTACAACCATTCTTGATGGCAGTTTGGCCATATGCACAGCAAGATCTTAAAATACCTAACACAGTAAAAGTTCATATGTACGAAGTACATTCTATATACCAGGCACTATGTTGACATTGACGTTATTCCAGTAAACCCATTTATATCCTAAAGAAAAAATTAGTGAGGTATGCAAAAAATGTGTCTATAAAAATATTCTTCATCACAGAATCATTTACAGTAATGAAATGTCTAGCATCTGAGGATTTGTAAAATCATTCATGGCATAGCTGTAAAATAGAATACAATACAGGCACTTAAAATGATGGGAAGAAAAGATTTCATAACACAGAAAAGTAGCCCTATCATTTTTTAAAATCAATGAAAATCGATTGAAACACATCCATATAGTGAAATAAAAATGACATGGAAAAGCATAATTTGTAGTAAAATTATCCATTTACTATTTGTCTTCCTTCTTTTTCCCAAAGCTTTGGAGATGCCCCCCAAAATAAAAGCCTTTAAGTCTATTATTTTAAGAATACTTATCTCATTGATTCAAATGAAGAGGAAAATATTGTAGAATGCCTTAGTCAGAACAAAAGTCATATTCCCAGCAAGGGAGATATGAAGGGGGTGTGTGACTGCTGGATGAAGGGTGTAGTGAGACAGGCCAGGGGCATGTGCAGATTGAGGAAGGCTGGGGGTGGGGGCAGAGCATTCATGGATAGCCACGCTTGGAGATAGGAAATGTATGCCCTATGGTTCAGGTAGAAAATGTGATACTTACTCGCAGTGGCTGTAGTTATTGGATGCCACCAATCTAGAAAAAAAACAATGAAGCTGTTTAGTATTTTACTAGATAATTTTTCCATTCCACAGTCATTTGCTTGATTGACACAGTTAAGTCCTTTTCCTTAGTACAGGACTTCTCCGAGCCTTGACCATTCCGGTTTATGCTGTTCATGGCCAGTAAGGTCTAGAGTAGGTAGCATCTCCCCATGTATTTGGCCCAGGACCTTCTCAATGTGGCACAAAGAACACTTTGGGGACGGCTCCCTCAAAGTGAAGGAATTCTTTATTTGGCAAATATGTGCAGAAGTATTACTTGGCCCTATTTCTAAAATGAAGATTCCAATTTTCCATGGGTTAATTTAGACAGTTATTTTCATCTGACATGAGGGGAGGCCCAAAGCCTCCTTCCACAGCAGCATCTCTGCCAGCACTTAGCGCCCTAAGCAGGTGATAGCAGGAGGCCACAGGGGCCCTCCGTGGTGAGCCAGACATGAGAATGATGGTAGTGGGAACTCAGCTCATCACCCTCACAAAGCTCAGAGTCCTCAGAGAAAAATCACCCCTCAGGAGGAGCCGGCCCTGCTCCTCCTACTTCTGGAAACAAGAGAAGGTGGAATTCCCAAGAGGAATATTGCTAGGCTGGGGTGGAGCAGACTCACCTGTAGTAGTAGAATTTATCTGGGAGGCTGCAAGGAAAAGAAGAAAACATGAGCCAGTCTCAGTGCGCAGGAGGATGAGCGAGAGAAATGCTGAGTGCCTGTCCTCACCTGGCCACTTAGAAATACTCCCCAGGAGTCATTCAGGAAAATGGAATCGTAGATATAAACCTTAAGGGTTTGTCTCAAAAGAAGGTGTTGGAAGAATTAATTCCTACAGCCTAAACGTAGATTGAACCCTTGTTTGCCGTAGGAACCTATGTAAGGAAAAAGCTAGTGCCTATCCATAAACTTCAAAGACACCAACAACATTGCTGATGTTATTGCCCTGTTGAGGTATCAGAGAAACTGCCCACTTTGAAGAGGAGCTCAGGCTGAGGGGAAGCCAATGCAAAGAGAAGCCGTGTCTTGGAGAAAACCACACACTAAAATAGAGGCCCAAGGTCTTGGAGGCCCACCTGAGCAGATGACACCAGCATCTTCACTGTGCTGATAGTTATGGGAGAGCCAGCCACTGTGGGGACAGCTCCACAGGCAGGACTCATTCCCTGAGCAGGGCACATCATCCAGGACAATGGGTCCTGAGCCCTGACCAAACCTGGCATTTCCTGGGGCTGCCATGGCCTAGCCACAACCCAGCTGCCTGCAGACCACATTGGCATCATTGGTCTCCCAGCTGTCATCACACACAGTGCCCCAGGAGCCTTGGTACAGGACCTCCACCTGGCCCTGACACCGGTCACCTCCATTCACCAGCCTCAGGACCAAACCAGAATTGGATTCTAGAAAAGACAGTTCACTCTCTCCTGTATCTCCTAAAGGAAAAGGGTCTGAGGTCAGAGTGATGTTCAGAATTCTTTTAGAAGGCCAAGGTTTCTGGGTCTCTAGTTAATGTTCTCCAGCAGCATAGGCATTGGCCGAAGCCTGTTCTTCATCATGTTATCCTTAAGGGTTGTTTTCTAGAACCCTTGGGTATGGACTGAGCTTTGCATGTTCTCCAGTGGAGTTACTCCAGTGCCCAGCAATTCAAGTGCTAACCCTGGCTTCAGATTCAAAGGTTAAAGTGCAGGAGCTATCAGCCTGGATCTGCAGGGACCACTGGGTTCCTGTGCCCCTGCAGCAGGATGCAACCAAGATTGGCTCCCAGCCACCTGACAAGGTGCAGACTTAGAACCCGGTTCTTGGGAGATTCCACCTCTCCACCTCTGGCTGACTCACTCTGCTCACAGGGACCACTCCATCAGGCCCAAGGTTTGTTCTGAGTCACTTTCAAACCCAAAGCTTTTCCTCAATATGCAACAAAACCTGGACCCACTGAATACCATGAGCTACGGGGACAGTGGGCAGAAGTGACTATGATGACACCTAGTTGTGCCCATGCCTGAGAGTAGAGGGACAATGGCAGAGTCAGGCCTCCATGCAGGAAAGTCACATGCTAGACACAACACTGGGTCAGGCATCCTGATCCCTCTGTGTACCCGAACTCTGTCCTGTGAGCCCGGGAGCTGGGCTAAGATACCCACATTAGTCTAGGTCCTCTGGTCTTCAGTTTAGCATTTATAAAATGAAGCCCCCGTTCTCCCAAGAATATGTACAAAGGGCCCACCGACACATGAAAAGATGCTCAACATCATTGGTCACCTGGAAAATGCAAATCAAAACACCATGAGATACCACCTTACACCCATTAGGATGGCCATGATGAAAAAGACATCGTAGCAAGTGCTGGTGGGGATACAGAGGAATCCGAATTCTCAGGCATTGCTAGGAGGAATGCAAATTTGTGCAGCAGCTGTGGCAACTGTTTGGTGTTTCCACAATAAATTAAAAAGAATTACCCCATTACCCAGCAATCCTACTCCTAGGTATATATCCCCCAAAATTGGAAACAAGTACAAAAAAACTGTATACTAATGCTCACAGCAGCATTATTCATAACAGCCAAAAGATGAAAGCAACCCAAACGTCCATAAGCCGATAAATGGATAGACAAAAGGTGGCGTAGCTGTACAATGGAATATTAGTTGGCAATTAAAAGTAATGGAGTCCCGACACATGCTAAAACATGAATGGACCTTGAAAACACTATGTTAACTGAATGAAGCCAGAGAGAAAAGGCTATGAATCCATTCACAGAAATGATCAGAGTTCTTTAGCAAAATCTGCAGAGACAGAAAGCAGATTAGTGGTTGCCAGGGGTTGAGGGAAAGAGGAATGGGTTATGGTTTATGAATGGCTAAGGGGTAAGAGCTTTCAGGTGGGGATAATGCAAAAGTCCTGAAATGAGATAGAGGTGATGGTGATGAACGTGGCCAACAGCCAGGGAGAGGGAAGGTTCCATCTCAGGACAGAGGGGTAACATCAGCCAGCAAAGAGCAGAGAGTAGCAAAGGAAAGGAAGGGTCCAACTGAGGGACTGCTATCTCTGTCCGAAACATCCTGCCTGTTTTTTATTCTAATAGAAACAGTCATTCCTTTTTTTTTTAAAGTAGCATCCTACAAGGTTCAAGTAGAACCTAGTGCCCACATCCTTCCCATCGCCCCTAGGGAACACGAAGGTGGGTATAGAACTCTGATGGAGACATCAGAGCTAATTGAGACGGTTTGGAAGAGAGCTCCTGTGGACAAGCAGGTCCATCAGAGTCCTCCCAGGTCTTGTCAGACAGAGGTACTGGGACAGATTGACTCATCCTCCTGGTGGGATATAGACTTGGGGCTGCCCACTGCTGTCTTCCAGCCATGTGAAGAAAGCAACTTGACAGTGAAGCCCACACAGATGAAAGAGTAGACGTAAGCAAAGCATAGGAAAAGAAGACTTGGAACTTCTGGAACCAGCTGTACCTGAAACTCCAGATCTACCACTAAACATTCCGGATGCCTGAGCCAATGAATTCCTTTCTAGCTTAAGAGAGTTTGAGTTGAGTTCCTGCCATGTGCATACAAAAGCATCCCTAATACTAGATGCTCCTTAAAAATCAATTGACAACTTGTAGATAAGGGAACTGTCCACACTGGATGAGGTACGGAGTGGCTGGAGGCTTCAAACAAGGCCCAGGAGTTTTACTCAGACCTGCTGAATGCCAATCCTTTGGCTGGACTCAAAGATGCTTCTTATAAGGGGTCCAAGCAGATTCTATCCACCATTTCCAGCTCGAAGATGAACTCTGTGTCTGGATGTGATGACCAAGTTGAATGAAAACCAACCCTTTCCCTCACAGGTTTTAGCAATTCACAAAGTCAGTAAGTCTCAGGGTACCACAGCAGCAAAAACCCTGTGTGTAATCTTCTAGCACAACAGACAGGCAGTAACCAAGGCTTTGCCTGGCAGATCTCACGGGGCCCGCCCTCCCGACAACAGACTTGGTACATAGTCAATGCACTGCAGTTCTTTGGAAGGAGCCGAAACTGACCAAGATCCAGGTCACACATGCACAGATACCATTGTACTCCTAGCCCATATGCCTCCAATCCAAATGCTCCTTACAGGAGGCTCAAGTGAGAATTCCCTACCCCTGTCTTCTCCTTTCCATGAGCCTCCTACCAATGACAGGATCCCTCCCTGGCCCCACTGTCTGTGCTGAGTCCACGATACCCTCACCTAGTGCTACTCAGCAGGGGAGAAATGGAGCCCTGGGGAGTCAGCACTTTTCTCTTCTGCCTCTTCTTTGCACTGCCTCAGGGTGGGGATAAAGTCTGGGTTGTTCAAGTTTGATCCCCTGTCCTAAGTGACCACAGGAACACTAGGCAGTGAATTCATATGGATTCTGAGCAGAGCGCTAACAGGACTTCAGAAATATGGGAAACACAGAAGAAGTTTTAAGTGAGGAGATCAGAACATAGTTAGGACTTTCTTCTTGAGCAAACTCCACCCCAGCAGAGGAAGACCATGGTCTTACAGACCCACCTGAGCAGATGACACCAGCATCTTCACTATGGTGACAGTTGTGGGAGAGCCAGCCACTGTGGGGACAGCTCCACAGATAGGACTCATACCCTGAGCAGCGCACGTCATCCAGGACAATGGGTCCTGAGCCCTGACCAAACCGGGCATTTCCTGGAGCTGACAGGGCCCAGCCACAGCCCAGCTGCCTGCAGACCACATTGGCATCATTGGTGTCCCAGTAGTCATCACAGACGGTGCCCCAGGAGCCTTGGTATAGGACCTCCACTCGGCCCTGACACCTGTCACTTCCATTCATGAGCCTCAGGGCCAAACTGGATTCAGATCCTATAGAAGAACACAAGAATTCTTCATCCATAAGGATCATGAGATCAATAATCTACAGAATGTTCCACACTCAGGGCACTTCCTGATGGCCAAAGTCTCTTGGGCAAGTAATCACCTTTGAATACTATTACAAAAAGAAGTTCAGCCTCATCGTAGTGGAAGTAGTGATGTCCTACTCTGCCCAGATCTATGGAAGCTCAAGTATTGGGGAAGAACCTGTGACCCCCCTAGAGGTGACAGGAATGGACACCTCACTCCCCATTCTGAGCTCCATTCTCACACAGGATGAAGCTGTACAGCTCCAGATAGGAGGGCAAGACCTGCCCCATGTTCAGGAGTTTGGTGGTACCCACATGGGTCTCTCCGGCTTCTGGCAAAGTGCCAGCAATTACAGGACATTGCCAGACAGCTGTGGGGACAGGCGCTTTCCCCAACTCATCTCAGGTCTGCACCTGTTGGCTGAGGGCCAGGAACAAGAACCCAGGAGGATCAAGGAGCTATCCAGGGCTTGTCTTGAGCACCTGGATGAGGATCTTTCCTGAACACATAACACAGACTCCCAGGGGAGACAGGTCACCAGCAACTCCACCCTCCATCATCAGACCCAGGACTAGGTTCCCAGGGAGGCCACATTCCTCCCCAGGCAACCTGCAAGGACATGAAAAACACAGGAGGAAGCTGCACAGCTCCAGATAGGAGGGCAGCTCCAGATAGAGGTGCCCACCTTCAGCCTCATTCTATCATTTTCTAAATAAACGTTTGAAAGAGGTAGAGAGTGAGCCCTAGGGAGGGGTGACAGGATGATTTACCTGTTGTCGATGCAGGTAAGTCAGTGGTTGGCCAAGTATCTGTAAATTGCAACAAAGAGAAAGGATAAAATTAGGCTTGAGGGTGAAAAGCTCAAAAAGGAAAGGTCTCTGGACCAGGCAAACATCATAAAAACTATTCAGTTTCTGGTTCCTGCCACTTGCTCCAAGTGTCTGTCCAAGTCTTCAGCTCAGTGAACTTGGCCAGGAACAAAGGCCTCACTGGAGACCAGTCCTATCCCTCCCAGATGTCCTCTTCTGAGCCACAAAGGTTAGCCTGCCCCACCCACTGACACATGGACGGATGGACACATCTGACACCATTGCTGAGATTCTAGCAGTTCCAACTATTAGGGGAACCAAGGAGGTGCCCATTGGGCTATCAAGTTTCCCGGTGAGTGGAGGCACCAGAAATAGTATCCCTCTCCCTGTGGGGCACAGCCTCTGCCTTTTCTGGATGCAGATTTGGCCCTGCAAAATCTGGGGTGTTTGCAGGAGTGAGGGATGGAGGTATCAGGCCTGCAGTGACATTGCTTGCCCATGGACAAAGTCACGTTTAAGGATTCCGTGGACATTGCCTTCCCAGGTGCCTTTATCAACCACTCTCAATTCTCAGAACGGAGAGATCAGCTCTGAATATAAAGCAGCCAAAGCTCATTAAACATGAGGCCACTTCCTGAACCTGTAAGCGTTACCCACAGTACAGTATGAAACTGCTTCATGAAAGCAGAGATAAGTGGGACAGGAGTCAGAAGCCTCCTCCAACCTATGTCTGTTGAAGCGCTGTGCTGGGGTCTCAGTTACAGAGTGGTGGGGGGAAAATAATATGCCCCACAGTATCCGCGCAGAGGAGCTGGAGAGCTCTGTGGATTGGGGGTAGGGGTAGTTGGGCAGAAAGAAAAGGGACATCCCAGATGCTGGGGACTCACCTGGCCTGGGAGTTGACTGGGCCTGGGAAGCTATGAGAAAGAGGAGAGGGTCAGATCAGATGCACTAACAGAAACTGTCACAACTCGAACTACAGTGGAAGAAACTGGGTGAGTCTGACGCTCAGTCCATCTTAGTCCCTCTGATAGAGAGGGAGGGATATTGCCCCACAGAGGGAGGGATATTGCCATGCACATCCCCACAGAGATGTGCCTTAGAAGGGATCAGGGCAGATCCTGTCCACAATTGCCACCTCCAAGGTGATTAACTTGGTATCTGCCCAGGGTGACCAGGTTGACCCAAAACCAACCCTCTCCCTGGCACATCTTGGCAGTTCCTAAGTCAGCAAGTCTGAGGAGGCCACTCCAGGCAAAATCCCTCATGTGATCTTCCAGCCCCAACCACAAGCAATACCAAGGCCATGCCTGGCCGGCCTCATGGGGGCTGCCCTCCCCACACCAGACCTGGGGCACAGGCAGTGCTCTGCAGTGTTCTGAGAGGAGCTATGGTCAAGGGCTCCAACCCCACGTGACCCCGGCCTGACATGAACAGACACCGGTTTACACTCCTAAGCCATCTGCCTCTATTTCCAGACCTCCTTATTGAATCTCAACTAGGATCCTGCTTCCAGACAAGCATCTTTAGTGCAGAGTTCCTCACACCAGTGAGGATTCCTGCCCTTTCCTGCTGTCTGTGCTGTCTCCACGATACCCTCACCCAGTGCTACTCAGCAGGGGAGAAATGGAGCCCTGGGGAGCCAGCACTTCTCTCTTCTGCTTCTTCCTTGCACTGCCTCAGGATGGGGATGAAGTCTGGGTTGCAGTTTGAGTTTGGTCCCCTGTCCCAAGTGACCACAGGAACACTAGGCAGTGAGTTCATATGGATTCTTAGCAGAGCACTAAGAAGACTTCAGAAATATAGGAAACATAGAACAAACTTTGAGCGAGGAGATCAGAATGTAATCAGGACTTTTTTCTTGAGCAAACTCCAGCCCAGGGAAGCGCAAGGTCTTGGAGGCCCACCTGAGCAGATGACACCAGCATCTTCACTGTGCCGACAGTTGTGTGAGAGCCAGCCATTGTGGGAGCAGCTCCACAGGTAGGACTCGTGTCCTGAGCAGCGCACGTCATCCAGGACAATGGGTCCATAGCCCTGACCAAACCGGGCATTTCCTGGGGCCGACACAGCCCAGCCACAGCCCAGCTGCCTGCAGACCACATTGGCATCACTGATGTCCCAGCTGTCATCACACACGGTGCCCCAGGAGCCTCGGTAGAGGACCTCCACTCGGCCCTGACACGTGTCACCTCCATTCACCAGCCTCAGGGCCAAACTGGATTCAGATCCTACAGGGGGACACAAGAATTCTTCATCCATCCCTATCATGAGATCAAGAATCTAAGGCATGTTCCACACTCAGGGCACTTCCTAATGGCCAAAGTCACCTGGGCTGGCAGTCATGATTGCATATGACTGCAACCAGAGTTTCAGCTTCATCACAGTGGAAGGAGAGGGGATACCCTATTCTGCCCAGGTTTATGGAGGCTCAAGTTTTGAGAAAGCGTCCGTGATCCCAGTGGAGGTGACACAAATGGATCCCCACTGCCTAATCTGGATACACACAGCACTGAGCTCCACAGCTCCAGACAGCAGGCCCATGCCATCCCCATGTTCAAGAGTTTGGTGGCATCCATGTGGTCCTCTCTGGCTTCTAGCAAATTGCCAGGGATGGCAAGGCCTTGGCCAGAGAGGTGCAGGGACAGGAACTTCCACCCAATCTTGCAGGTCAGCCGTGCATGGCCAGAGGGCCAGGAATGAGGTCCCAGTAGGATTAGAAAGCCCTCCAGGGCTTGTTCTCAGCACCTGGATGAGGATCTTTCCTGACCACTTGGAACGGGATCCCATGGAAGACAGGTCACCAACACCCTCCACCTCCAACATCAGACCCAAGACTGGTCTCCCGGAGACTCCACCTTCCTCCCATGCAACCCACAGGGACATCAACAAGAGCCACATCTTGTCATTTACAGATAAAACATTTGTCCCGAGGTAGAGAGTGAGCCCTAGGGAGGGGTGAGAGGGTTATTTACCTTCTGTCGTTGCAGGTAAGCTGGTGGTCGGCCACGTGTCTGTAAGTTGCAACAAAGACAAAGGCTAGAATTAAACTTGGGGGTGCAAAGCTCCTAAAGGAAAGGTCTCCAGACAAGGCAGGCATCATGAAAACTACTCCATTTCTGGTTCCTGCCACTTGCTCCCCATGTGTTTGCCCAAGTCTTCAGTCCAGTGAACACAGCCAGGGAGGGACACAGGCCTCGCTGGAAACCAGTCCGATCCCTCCTACCTCTGAAGTGTGGGATGTCCTCTTTTCAGCTACAAAGGGTTACTTAGCCTGCCCCATCTACGGACACATGGACTGACGGGCACATCAGACACAATTGCTGAGACTCTGAGAGTTGGTGCTAAAATGTTGGAAGGATCAGGGAGCTGCCCAAAAGAGTATAAAGTCTCCTGGAAAATGCAGGCACCAGAAATGTCTGTTATCTCTCTCCCTCCCCGAGCACAGCCTCTGCCTTTCTGGCTGTAATGGGGCCCTGCAGAATCTGGGGGTGTTTGAATGAGTGAGGAATGGAGGTTTCCGGCCTGCACTGATATTGCTTTTGCCCATGGACAAAGTCAGGTTTCAGGTTTCAACTGACATTGCCTATTCAGTGATTCTGGCAATAACTCTTAATTCTCTGAAAGGTTATACCTTCTTAACCATGGCTGGCTAAGAAGTGCCACGCTGGGGTCTCAGTTACAGAGCAGGGGAAATAGTATGACCTAGAATATCCACACAGATCAGAAGGAGGGCTCTGTCCCATGGGAAAAAGGATAATTGTGCAGAAAGAAAAGAGACATCCTGAGGAAGGACACTGGGGACTCACCTGGCCTGGGTGTTGACCGGGACTGGGCAGCTGTGAGAAAGAGGAGATCAGGTCAGATGCACTACACAGAAGCTGGAAAATCTGTAGCAAAGGTGGAAGGAACTGGAAAGTCTGACACTCAGACCATCCTAGCCCCCTAACACAGAGGGCAGGGCATCGCCATGCACATCCCCACAGAGATGCTCCTCGGAAGGCGTCTGGGCAAGTTGTGTTCACTATGGCCAGCTCCAAAGTGATTAACTTTGTGTCTGCCTGTAGTGACCAGGTTGACACAAAACGAACCCTCTGCCTTGCAAGTGTTAGCAGTTCCTGAGTCAGCAAGTACGAAGAGGCCATTCCAGCCAAAGTCCGGCCTGGTACCTTCTAGCCAACCCACAGGCCTTCATAGCAGGGCTTTGCCTGGCAGGCATCATGGGGGCTGCCCATCCCACACCAGACCTGGTGCACAGGCCAGACTGCAGTGCTCCCGAGGGAACTGCACTCAGGCATTCACACTCCCAAAACCCAGGCCAGACACCAACAGACACAGATCTACATTCTCAACCTTGTGTCTCCATTCTGATGCCTCCTTGTTGGGCCTCAGCAGAAAACCTCCTCTTCACAGCAGGAGCCTTTGGTTCTGGGCTCCTCCCAGTGAGACAGTCCCGTTGCCAATCCCCCTATATATGCTTCAACTGCCTCACGCTCATGCAAAACTTTCAATATAAGAAAGATGGAACACTGGAGAGCCAGTGTGTAATAGTTCCCATGCTTGTCCTATCCAGGTCTAATGTTGTGATTGGATCCCAAAGTATCGAAGTGAGGCCTTATGTGCCCTGTTGGGTCACGGAGGCCAACCCATCATGAATACCTTAGTGCCCTCCCTGGTCATGGGTGAGGTCTTCTCGTAGTTCCTAGCTGGAGCTGCTGGTTGAAAAGAGCCTGGGCCCTCCCTCTTTCTCTCTCTTGCTTCCTCTGTGACCCCTGCCTAGGACGGCTCCCCATTCCCTTCTACCAGGAGTGCAAGCAGCCTGAGGGCCTCCGCAGAAGCCAAGCAGATGCCTGCACTGGGCTCCTATGCGGCTGCAAAGCCACGGCCCAAATCAACCTCTTTCCTTATGAATAGCTGCGCCCCAGCTACTCCTTTCCAGCTACACTAAAATACAAAGGCCCGGCGCTTTCCTCTTCTCCCCCTGCTTGAGCTGCCTCACTAGGTGGACAAAGATATGACCCTCATTTCAATTTGGCCCATTGTCCTCCCTGACCTCCCCGATACCTGGCAATGTGGCAATGACTCTTGCTGTTTCCTAGCAGAGAACTAAGGAGATATCAGAAATCCAGGAAAAGTAGAAACAGCTCTGAGTAAGGAGATCAGAACAGAATGAGACCTCGATTCCTGACCACACTCCACCCAACAGAGGGAGCCCACAGCCTTGGAGGCCCACCTGAGCAGATGACACCAGCGTCTTCACTGTGCCGACAGTTGTGGGAGAGCCAGCCACTGTGGGGACAGCTCCACAGGTAGGACTCGTGTCCTGAGCAGCGCACGTCATCCAGGACAATGGGTCCATAGCCCTGACCAAACCGGGCATTTCCTGGGGCCGACACAGCCCAGCCACAGCCCAGCTGCCTGCAGACCACATTGGCATCACTGATGTCCCAGCTGTCATCACACACGGTGCCCCAGGAGCCTCGGTAGAGGACCTCCACTCGGCCCTGACATGTGTCACCTCCATTCACCAGCCTCAGGGCCAAACTGGATTCAGATCCTACAGGGGGACACAAGAATTCTTCATCCATCCCTATCATGAGGTCAAGAATCTAAGGCATGTTCCACACTCAGGGCACTTCCTAATGGCCAAAGTCACCTGGGCTGGCAGTCATGATTGCATATGACTGCAACCAGAGTTTCAGCTTCATCACAGTGGAAGGAGAGGGGATACCCTATTCTGCCCAGGTTTATGGAGGCTCAAGTTTTGAGAAAGCGTCCGTGATCCCAGTGGAGGTGACACAAATGGATCCCCACTGCCTAATCTGGATACACACAGCACTGAGCTCCACAGCTCCAGACGGCAGGCCCATGCCATCCCCATGTTCAAGAGTTTGGTGGCATCCATGTGGTCCTCTCTGGCTTCTAGCAAATTGCCAGGGATGGCAAGGCCTTGGCCAGAGAGGTGCAGGGACAGGAACTTCCACCCAACCTTGCAGGTCAGCAGTGCATGGCCAGAGGGCCAGGAATGAGGTCCCAGTAGGATTAGAAAGCCCTCCAGGGCTTGTTCTCAGCACCTGGATGAGGATCTTTCCTGACCACTTGGAACGGGATCCCATGGAAGACAGGTGACCAGCACCCTCCACCTCCAACATCAGACCCAAGAATGGCCTCCCAGAGACTCTGCCTTCCTCCCATGCAACCCACAGGGACATCAACAAGAGAGGGGCCCACCATGAGCCTCATCTTGTCATTTACAGACAAAACATTTGTCCCGAGGTAGAGAGTGAGCCCTAGGGAGGGGTGAGAGGGTTATTTACCTTCTGTCGTTGCAGGTAAGCTGGTGGTCGGCCACGTGTCTGTAAGTTGCAACAAAGACAAAGGCTAGAATTAAACTTGGGGGTGCAAAGCTCCTAAAGGAAAGGTCTCCAGACAAGGCAGGCATCATGAAAACTACTCCATTTCTGGTTCCTGACACTTGCTCCCCATGTGTTTGCCCAAGTCTTCAGTCCAGTGAACACAGCCAGGGAGGGACACAGGCCTCGCTGGAAACCAGTCCTATCCCTCCTACCTCTGAAGTGTGGGATGTCTCTTTTCAGCTACAAAGGGTTACTTAGCCTGCCCCATCCACGGACACATGGACTGACGGGCAAATCTGACACCATTGCTGAGACTCTGAGAGTTGGTGCTAAAATGTTGGAAGGATCAGCGAGCTGCCCAAAAGAGTATAAAGTCTCCTGGAAAATGCAGGCACCAGAAATGTCTGTTATCTCTCTCCCTCCCCGAGCACAGCCTCTGCCTTTCTGGCTGTAATGGGGCCCTGCAGAATCTGGGGGTGTTTGAATGAGTGAGGAATGGAGGTTTCAGGCCTGCACTGATATTGCTTTTGCCCATGGACAAAGTCAGGTTTCATGTTTCAACTGACATTGCCTATTCAGTGATTCTGGCAATAACTCTTAATTCTCTGAAAGGTTATACCTTCTTAACCATGGCTGGCTAAGAAGGCCCACGCTGGGGTCTCAGTTACAGAGCAGGGGAAATAGTATGAACTAGAATATCCACACAGATCAGAAGGAGGGCTCTGTCCCATGAGAAAAAGGATAATTGTGCAGAAAGAAAAGAGACATCCCGAGGAAGGACACTGGGGACTCACCTGGCCTGGGTGTTGACCGGGACTGGGCAGCTGTGAGAAAGAGGAGATCAGGTCAGATGCACTACACAGAAGCTGGAAAATCTGTAGCAAAGGTGGAAGGAACTGGAAAGTCTGACACTCAGACCATCCTAGCCCCCTAACACAGAGGGCGGGGCATCGCCATGCACATCCCCACAGAGATGCTCCTCGGAAGGCGTCTGGGCAAATTGTGTTCACTATGGCCAGCTCCAAAGTGATTAACTTTGTGTCTGCCTGTAGTGACCAGGTTGACACAAAACGAACCCTCTGCCTCGCACGTGTTAGCAGTTCCTGAGTCAGCAAGTACGAAGAGGCCATTCCAGCCAAAGTCCGGCCTGGTACCTTCTAGCCAACCCACAGGCCTTCATAGCAGGGCTTTGCCTGGCAGGCATCAGTGGGGGCTGCCCATCCCCACACCAGACCTGGTGCACAGGCCAGACTGCAGTGCTCCCGAGGGAACTGCACTCAGGCATTCACACTCCCAAAACCCAGGCCAGACACCAACAGACACAGATCTACATTCTCAACCTTGTGTCTCCATTCTGATGCCTCCTTGTTGGGCCTCAGCAGAAAACCTCCTCTTCACGGCAGGAGCCTTTGGTTCTGGGCTCCTCCCAGTGAGACAGTCCCTTTGCCAATCCCCCTATATATGCTTCAACTGCCTCACGCTCATGCAAAACTTTCAATATAAGAAAGATGGAACACTGGAGAGCCAGTGTGTAATAGTTCCCATGCTTGTCCTATCCAGGTCTAATGTTGTGATTGGATCCCGAAGTATCGAAGTGAGGCCTCATGTGCCCTGTTGGGTCACGGAGGCCAACCCATCATGAATACCTTAGTGCCCTCCCTGGTCATGGGTGAGGTCTTCTCGTAGTTCCTAGCTGGAGCTGCTGGTTGAAAAGAGCCTGGGCCCTCCCTCTTGCTCTCTCTTGCTTCCTCTGTGACCCCTGCCTAGGACGGCTCCCCATTCCCTTCTACCAGGAGTGCAAGCAGCCTGAGGGCCTCCGCAGAAGCCAAGCAGATGCCTGCACTGGGCTCCTATGTGGCTGCAAAGCCACGGCCCAAATCAACCTCTTTCCTTATGAATAGCTGCGCCCCAGCTACTCCTTTCCAGCTACACTAAAAGACAAAGGCCCGGCGCTTTCCTCTTCTCCCCCTGCTTGAGCTGCCTCACTAGGTGGACAAAGATATGACCCTCATTTCAATTTGGCCCATTGTCCTCCCTGACCTCCCCGATACCTGGCAATGTGGCAATGACTCTTGCTGTTTCCTAGCAGAGAACTAAGGAGATATCAGAAATCCAGGAAAAGTAGAAACAGCTCTGAGTAAGGAGATCAGAACAGAATGAGACCTCGATTCCTGACCACACTCCACCCAACAGAGGGAGCCCACAGCCTTGGGGGCCCACCTGAGCAGATGACACCAGCGTCTTCACTGTGCCGACAGTTGTGAGAGAGCCAGCCACTGTGGGGACAGCTCCACAGGTAGGACTCGTGTCCTGAGCAGCGCACGTCATCCAGGACAATGGGTCCATAGCCCTGACCAAACCGGGCATTTCCTGGGGCCGACACGGCCCAGCCACAGCCCAGCTGCCTGCAGACCACATTGGCATCACTGATGTCCCAGCTGTCATCACACACGGTGCCCCAGGAGCCTCGGTAGAGGACCTCCACTCGGCCCTGACACGTGTCACCTCCATTCACCAGCCTCAGGGCCAAACTGGATTCAGATCCTACAGGGGGACACAAGAATTCTTCATCCATCCCTATTAGCAGGTCAAGAATCTAAGGCATGTTCCACACTCAGGGCACTTCCTAATGGCCAAAGTCACCTGGGCTGGCAGTCATGATTGCATATGACTGCAACCAGAGTTTCAGCTTCATCATAGTGGAAGGAGAGGGGATACCCTATTCTGCCCAGGTTTATGGAGGCTCAAGTTTTGAGAAAGCGTCCGTGATCCCAGTGGAGGTGACACAATGGATCCCCACTGCCTAATCTGGATACACACAGCACTGAGCTCCACAGCTCCAGACGGCAGGCCCATGCCATCCCCATGTTCAAGAGTTTGGTGGCATCCATGTGGTCCTCTCTGGCTTCTAGCAAATTGCCAGGGATGGCAAGGCCTTGGCCAGAGAGGTGCAGGGACAGGAACTTCCACCCAACCTTGCAGGTCAGCAGTGCATGGCCAGAGGGCCAGGAATGAGGTCCCAGTAGGATTAGAAAGCCCTCCAGGGCTTGTTCTCAGCACCTGGATGAGGATCTTTCCTGACCACTTGGAACGGGATCCCATGGAAGACAGGTGACCAGCACCCTCCACCTCCAACATCAGACCCAAGAATGGCCTCCCAGAGACTCTGCCTTCCTCCCATGCAACCCACAGGGACATCAACAAGAGAGGGGCCCACCATGAGCCTCATCTTGTCATTTACAGACAAAACATTTGTCCCGAGGTAGAGAGTGAGCCCTAGGGAGGGGTGAGAGGGTTATTTACCTTCTGTCGTTGCAGGTAAGCTGGTGGTCGGCCACGTGTCTGTAAGTTGCAACAAAGACAAAGGCTAGAATTAAACTTGGGGGTGCAAAGCTCCTAAAGGAAAGGTCTCCAGGCAAGGCAGGCATCATGAAAACTACTCCATTTCTGGTTCCTGACACTTGCTCCCCATGTGTTTGCCCAAGTCTTCAGTCCAGTGAACACAGCCAGGGAGGGACACAGGCCTCGCTGGAAACCAGTCCGATCCCTCCTACCTCTGAAGTGTGGGATGTCCTCTTTTCAGCTACAAAGGGTTAGCCTGCCCCATCCACGGACACATGGACTGACGGGCACATCAGACACCATTGCTGAGACTCTGAGAGTTGGTGCTAAAATGTTGGAAGGATCAGCGAGCTGCCCAAAAGAGTATAAAGTCTCCTGGAAAATGCAGGCACCAGAAATGTCTGTTATCTCTCTCCCTCCCCGAGCACAGCCTCTGCCTTTCTGGCTGTAATGGGGCCCTACAGAATCTGGGGGTGTTTGAATGAGTGAGGAATGGAGGTTTCCGGCCTGCACTGATACTGCTTTTGCCCATGGACAAAGTCAGGTTTCAGGTTTCAACTGACATTGCCTATTCAGTGATTCTGGCAATAACTCTTAATTCTCTAAAGGTTATACCTTCTTAACCATGGCTGGCTAAGAAGCACCACGCTGGGGTCTCAGTTACAGAGCAGGGGAAATAGTATGAACTAGAATATCCACACAGATCAGAAGGAGGGCTCTGTCCCATGAGAAAAAGGATAATTGTGCAGAAAGAAAAGAGACATCCTGAGGAAGGACACTGGGGACTCACCTGGCCTGGGTGTTGACCGGGACTGGGCAGCTGTGAGAAAGAGGAGATCAGGTCAGATGCACTACACAGAAGCTGGAAAATCTGTAGCAAAGGTGGAAGGAACTGGAAAGTCTGACACTCAGACCATCCTAGCCCCCTAACACAGAGGGCGGGGCATCGCCATGCACATCCCCACAGAGATGCTCCTTGGAAGGCGTCTGGGCAAATTGTGTTCACTATGGCCAGCTCCAAAGTGATTAACTTTGTGTCTGCCTGTAGTGACCAGGTTGACACAAAACGAACCCTCTGCCTCGCACGTGTTAGCAGTTCCTGAGTCAGCAAGTACGAAGAGGCCATTCCAGCCAAAGTCCGGCCTGGTACCTTCTAGCCAACCCACAGGCCTTCATAGCAGGGCTTTGCCTGGCAGGCATCATGGGGGCTGCCCACCCCACACCAGACCTGGTGCACAGGCCAGACTGCAGTGCTCCCGAGGGAACTGCACTCAGGCATTCACACTCCCAAAACCCAGGCCAGACACCAACAGACACAGATCTACATTCTCAACCTTGTGTCTCCATTCTGATGCCTCCTTGTTGGGCCTCAGCAGAAAACCTCCTCTTCACAGCAGGAGCCTTTGGTTCTGGGTTCCTCCCAGTGAGACAGTCCCTTTGCCAATCCCCCTATATATGCTTCAACTGCCTCACGCTCATGCGAACCTTTCAATATAAGAAAGATGGAACACTGGAGAGCCAGTGTGTAATAGTTCCCATGCTTGTCCTATCCAGGTCTAATGTTGTGATTGGATCCCGAAGTATCGAAGTGAGGCCTCATGTGCCCTGTTGGGTCACGGAGGCCAACCCATCATGAATACCTTAGTGCCCTCCCTGGTCAGGGGTGAGGTCTTCTCTTAGTTCCTAGCTGGAGCTGCTGGTTGAAAAGAGCCTGGGCCCTCCCTCTTGCTCTCTCTTGCTTCCTCTGTGACCCCTGCCTAGGACGACTCCCCATTCCCTTCTACCAGGAGTGCAAGCAGCCTGAGGGCCTCCGCAGAAGCCAAGCAGATGCCTGCACTGGGCTCCTATGTGGCTGCAAAGCCACGGCCCAAATCAACCTCTTTCCTTATGAATAGCTGCGCCCCAGCTACTCCTTTCCAGCTACACTAAAAGACAAAGGCCCGGCGCTTTCCTCTTCTCCCCCTGCTTGAGCCGCCTCACTAGGTGAACAAAGACATGACCCTCATTTCAATTTGGCCCATTGTCCTCCCTGACCTCCCCGATACCTGGCAATGTGGCAATGACTCATGCTGTTTCCTAGCAGAGAACTAAGGAGATATCAGAAATCCAGGAAAAGTAGAAACAGCTCTGAGTAAGGAGATCAGAACAGAATGAGACCTCGATTCCTGACCACACTCCACCCAACAGAGGGAGCCCACAGCCTTGGAGGCCCACCTGAGCAGATGACACCAGCGTCTTCACTGTGCTGACAGTTGTGAAAGAGCAAGCCACTGTGGGGACAGCTCCACAGGTAGGACTCGTGTCCTGAGCAGCGCACGTCATCCAGGACAATGGGTCCATAGCCCTGACCAAACCGGGCATTTCCTGGGGCCGACACGGCCCAGCCACAGCCCAGCTGCCTGCAGACCACATTGGCATCACTGATGTCCCAGCTGTCATCACACACGGTGCCCCAGGAGCCTCGGTAGAGGACCTCCACTCGGCCCTGACACGTGTCACCTCCATTCACCAGCCTCAGGGCCAAACTAGATTCAGATCCTACAGGGGAACACAAGAATTCTTCATCCATCCCTATCATGCGGTCAAGAATCTAAGGAATGTTTCACACTTGCGGCGTGACACCTGGGCAGGCAGTCACCTTTGAATATGACTAAAACCGGAGATTCAGCTTCATCATAATCGAAGCAGCAAAGGCGCCCTATCCTGCCTGGGTTTATGAAGGCTCACCTTTGGGGAGCACCTGTGGCCACACTGGAGTGGACAGGAATGGATACCCCACTCTCTACCCTGGGCAAACACAGGATGGAGCTACATAGCTCCAGTTGGCAGACCCAGATCCTCCCCTGCTCAGGGACTTGTTGGCAAACCCACAGTCCTGTCTGGCTTCTGAACACGTCACAGGTATGACTAGGCCTTGGCCAGGCAGGTACAGGGACAGCCACTTTCACCCACTCTCCACACCTCTGGAGCCCATCGCCTGAGGGCCAGGAACAAGGTCCCGGTAGGATTAAGGATTCCTCCAGGGCTTGTTCCCAGCACCTGGATGAGGATCTTTCCTGATATTGGAACAGGAGATGACGAAAGACAGGTCACCAACACCCTCCACCTCCAACATCAGACCCAAGCCTGGTCTCCCGGAGACTCCACCTTCCTCCCATGCAACCCACAGGGACATCAACAAGAGAGGGGCCCACCATGAGCCTCATCCTGTCATTTACAGATAAAACATTTGTCCCGAGGTAGAGTGAGCCCTAGGGAGGGGTGAGAGGGTTATTTACCTTCTGTCGTTGCAGGTGAGCTGGTGGCCGGCCACGTGTCTGTAAGTTGCAACAAAGGCAAAGGCTAGAATTAAACTTGGGGGTGCAAAGCTCCTAAAGGAAAGTCTCCAGACAAGGCAGGCATCATGAAAACTACTGCATTTCTGCTTCCTGCCACTTGCTCCCCATGTGTCTGCCCAATTCTAAAGTCCAGTGAGCACAGCCAGGGACACAGGCCTCACTGGAGACCAGTCCAATCCCTCCTAACTCAAGTTCGGGATGTCCTCTTTTCAGCTACAAACGGTTACTTAGCCTGCCCCATCCACGGACACATGGACAGATGGGAGCATATGACACCATTGTTGAGACTCTGACAGCCGTAGAGTATCCAATCTGAGAAGAATGAGGGCCCTGTGGAGTGCTGGAAGGGAGAATTGTACAGAAAGAGAAGGAACATCCCAAGGAAGGATACTGGGGACTCACCTGGCCTGGGTGTCGACCGGGACTGGGCAGCTGTGAGAAAGAGGAGGTCAGATCAGATGCACTGCACAGAAGCTCACACAACCATACCAAAGGTGGAAGGAACTGGACAGGCCACGCCTTCAGTCCATCCTAGGCCCCCATCACAGTGGGAGGCGGATGGCCATGCACGTCCTTGCAGAGATGCTCCTTGGAAGGCGTCTGGGCAGATCCTGTCCACTACTGCCACCTCCAAAGTGATTAACGTTGTGTCTGCCTGTAGTAATCAGGCTGACACAAAACCAGCCCTCTCCCTTGCATGTCTAGCAGTCCCTGAGACAGCAAATGTGAGGTCAGTCCAGCCAAAGTCCTCCCTGTGACCTTTCAACCCAGCCCACAGGCATTCACAATGAAGCCTTACCTAGCAGGCGTCATGGGGGCTGCCCACCCCACACCAGACCTGGTGTACAAGCAAGACACTGCGGTGCCCTGCAGGGAGTGGTGGCCAAGGATTCACGGCCTGCAAAACCCAGGCTAGACACGGACAGACAGTGGTCTGCGCTCCCAGCCTTGGAGCTCCATTAACACAGAACCTTATTGAGCCTCAGCAAAAGATCCCACTTCCTAGCAGGAGCCTTTGGTTCTGGGCTCCTCCCAGTGAGACAATCCCTCTTCTATCCCTTACCTGTGCTTCATCCACCTCACCCTCACTCAAAACCCTTCAGGAGGAGAAAGACAGAAGCCTGGAGAGCCAGCATGCTACACTTTGGGTGCTGGTCCCATCCAGGTGTCATATTGCGATTGAATCCCCAAGTATCGAGGTGAGGCCCCATGCGTCCTGCTGGGTCACGGAGGACAACCCATCATGAACACCTTAGGGCCCTCCCTGGTCAGGGGTGAGGTCTTCTCTTAGTTCCTAGCTGGAGCTGCTGGTTGAAAAGAAAAGAGCCTGGGCCCTCCCTCTTGCTCTTTCTTGCTTCCTCGGTGATTCCTGCCAAGGACGGTTCCCATTCCCTTCTACCAGGAGTTCAAGCAGCCTGAGGCCCTCAGCAAAAGCCAAGCAAATGCCTGCACCGGGCTCCTATGCGGCTGCAAAGCCACGGCCCAAATCAACCTCTTTCTTCATGCATAACTGGGCCCCAGCTACTCCTTTCCAGCCGCACTAAAAGATAAAGGCCCGGCGCTTTCCTCTTTCCCTGTTTGACCTGCCTCACTAGGTGAACAAAGACATGACCCTCATTTCAATTTGGCCCATTGTCCTCCCTGACCTCCCCGATACCTGGCAATGTGGCAATGACTCTTGCTGTTTCCTAGCAGAGAACTAAGGAGATATCAGAAATCCAGGAAAAGTAGAAACAGCTCTGAGTAAGGAGATCAGAACAGAATGAGACCTCGATTCCTGACCACACTCCACCCAACAGAGAGAGCCCACAGCCTTGGAGGCCCACCTGAGCAGATGACACCAGCGTCTTCACTGTGCCGACAGTTGTGGGAGAGCCAGCCACTGTGGGGACAGCTCCACAGGTAGGACTCGTGTCCTGAGCAGCGCACGTCATCCAGGACAATGGGTCCATAGCCCTGACCAAACCGGGCATTTCCTGGGGCCGACACGGCCCAGCCACAGCCCAGCTGCCTGCAGACCACATTGGCATCACTGATGTCCCAGCTGTCATCACACACGGTGCCCCAGGAGCCTCGGTAGAGGACCTCCACTCGGCCCTGACACGTGTCACCTCCATTCACCAGCCTCAGGGCCAAACTGGATTCAGATCCTACAGGGGAACACAAGAATTCTTCATTCATCCCTATCATGCGGTCAAGAATCTAAGGAATGTTTCACACTTGCGGCGTGACACCTGGGCAGGCAGTCACCTTTGAATATGACTAAAACCGGAGATTCAGCTTCATCATAATCGAAGCAGCAAAGGCGCCCTATCCTGCCTGGGTTTATGAAGGCTCACCTTTGGGGAGCACCTGTGGCCACACTGGAGTGGACAGGAATGGATACCCCACTCTCTACCCTGGGCAAACACAGGATGGAGCTACACAGCTCCAGTTGGCAGACCCAGATCCTCCCCTGCTCAGGGACTTGTTGGCAAACCCACAGTCCTGTCTGGCTTCTGAACACTTCACAGGTATGACTAGGCCTTGGCCGGGCAGGTACAGGGACAGCCACTTTCACCCACTCTCCACACCTCTGGAGCCCATGGCCTGAGGGCCAGGAATGAGGTCCCAGTAGGATTAAGGATTCCTCCAGGGCTTGTTCCCAGCACCTGGATGAGGATCTTTCCTGATACTTGGAACAGGAGATGACGAAAGACAGGTCACCAACACCCTCCACCTCCAACATCAGACCCAAGACTGGTCTCCCGGAGACTCCACCTTCCTCCCATGCAACCCACAGGGACATCAACAAGAGAGGGGCCCACCATGAGCCTCATCCCGTCATTTACAGATAAAACATTTGTCCAGAGGTAGAGTGAGCCCTAGGGAGGGGTGAGAGGGTTATTTACCTTCTGTCGTTGCAGGTGAGCTGGTGGCCGGCCACGTGTCTGTAAGTTGCAACAAAGGCAAAGGCTAGAATTAAACTTGGGGGTGCAAAGCTCCTCAAGGAAAGTCTCCAGACAAGGCAGGCATCATGAAAACTACTCCATTTCTGGTTCCTGCCACTTGCTCCTCATGTGTCTGCCCAAGTCTTCAGTCCAGTGAGCACAGCCAGGGACACAGGCCTCACTGGAGACCACTCCAATCCCTCCTAACTCAAGTTCGGGATGTCTTCTTTTCAGCTACAAAGGGTTACTTAGCCTGCCCCATCCACGGACACATGGACTGATGGGAGCACATGACACCATTGTTGAGACTCTGACAGTTCCAGCTAAAATGTTAGGGGAACCAAGGAGCCATTCAAAGGGGTATCAAGTTCCTGGTAAGTGGAGGCACCAGAAATACTATCCCTCACCCTGCCAAGCACGACCTCTGCCTTTCTGGATGCAGACGTGGCCCTGCAAAATCTGGAGTTTTTGAGCATGGAATACTATGCAGCCATAAGAAAGGATGAGTTCATGTCCTTTTCAGGGACATGGATAAAGCTGGAAACCATCATTCTCAGCAAACTGACACAAGAACAGAAAACCAAACACCACATGTTCTCACTCATAAGTGGGTGTTGAACACTGATAACACATGGACACAGGGAGGGGAACATCACACACTGGGGTATGTTGCAGGGAATAGGGGAGGAATAGAAGGGGTGGGGTGGTGGGGAGAGATAATATTAGGAGAAATACCTAATGTAGGTGACAGAAGAATGGATGCAGCAAACCACCATGGCATATGTATGCCTATGTAAATGTCCCCCAGAACTTAAAGTATAATTTAAAAAATCTGGGGTGTCTGAAGGAGTGAGGGATGATATCAAACCTGCACTGTCATGCTTGCCCATGGCAAAGTCATGTTCAAGGCTTCAGCTGACATTGCCTTCCCAGGAGACTTTGGCAATCACTCTCAATCCTCACAAATGTCGTATCAGCTCTGAACAGAAAAGGGCCAAAGCTCATTAAACATGAGGCCACTTTCTGAACCTGTAAGGGTTGGCCATTGGGACGGTGTGAAACCGCTTCATGAAAGATGAGATAAATGGAACAGAAGACAGAGGCCTCCTGACCCCTATGTCTGATTAAAAAGTGTCATGCTAAGATCTCCATTACAGAGCACGGGAAAATAGTATGCCCTAGAGTATCCAATCTGAGAAGAATGAGGGCCCTGTGGAGTGCAGGAAGGGAGAATTGTACAGAAAGGGACGGAACATCCCAAGGAAGGATACTGGGGACTCACCTGGCCTGGGCGTCGACCGGGACTGGGCAGCTGTGAGAAAGAGGAGGTCAGATCAGATGCACTGCACAGAAGCTCACACAACCATACCAAAGGTGGAAGGAACTGGACAGGCCAGGCCTTCAGTCCATCCTGGGTCCCCATCACAGTGGGAGGGGCATGGCCATGCACGTCCCTGCAGAGATGCTCCTTGGAAGGCGTCTGGGCAGATCCTGTCCACTACTGCCACCTCCAAAGTGATTAACATTGTGTCTGCCTGTAGTAATCAGGTTGACACAAAACCAGCCCTCTCCCTTGCACGTCTAGCAGTCCCTGAGACAGCAAATGTGAGGTCAGTCCAGCCAAAGTCCTACCTGTGACCTTTCAACCCAGCCCACAGGCATTCACAATGAAGCCTTACCTAGCAGGCATCATGGGGGCTGCCCGCCCCACACCAGACCTGGTGTACAAGCAAGACACTGCGGTGCCCTGGAGGGAGTGGTGGCCAAGGATTCACAGCCTGCAAAACCCCGGCTAGACACGGACAGACAGTGGTCTGCGCTCCCAGCCTTGGAGCTCCATTAACACAGAACCTTATTGAGCCTCAGCAAAAGATCCCACTTCCTAGCAGGAGCCTTTGGTTCTGGGCTCCTCCCAGTGAGACAATCCCTCCCCTATCCCTTACCTGTGCTTCATCCACCTCACCCTCATTCAAAACCCTTCAGGAGGAGAAAGACAGAAGCCTGGAGAGCCAGCATGCTACACTTTGGGTGCTGGTCCCATCCAGGTGTCATATTGCGATTGAATCCCCAAGTATCGAGGTGAGGCCCCATGCGTCCTGCTGGGTCACAGAGGCCAACCCATCATGAACACCTTAGGGCCCTCCCTGGTCAGGGGTGAGGTCTTCTCTTAGTTCCTAGCTGGAGCTGCTGGTTGAAAAGAAAAGAGCCTGGGCCCTCCCTCTTGCTCTTTCTTGCTTCCTCGGTGACTCCTGCCAAGGACGCCTCCCCATTCCCTTCTACCAGGAGTGCAAGCAGCCTGAGGCCCTCAGCAAAAGCCAAGCAGATGCCTGCACCGGGCTCCTATGCGGCTGCAAAGCCACGGCCCAAATCAACCTCTTTCTTCATGCATAACTGGGCCCCAGCTACTCCTTTCCAGCCGCACTAAAAGATAAAGGCCTGGCGCTTTCCTCTTTCCCTGTTTGACCTGCCTCACTAGGTGAACAAAGACATGACCCTCATTTCAATTTGGCCCATTGTCCTCCCTGACCTCCCCGATACCTGGCAATGTGGCAATGACTCTTGCTGTTTCCTAGCAGAGAACTAAGGAGATATCAGAAATCCAGGAAAAGTAGAAACAGCTCTGAGTAAGGAGATCAGAACAGAATGAGACCTCGATTCCTGACCACACTCCACCCAACAGAGAGAGCCCACAGCCTTGGAGGCCCACCTGAGCAGATGACACCAGCGTCTTCACTGTGCCGACAGTTGTGAGAGAGCCAGCCACTGTGGGGACAGCTCCACAGGTAGGACTCGTGTCCTGAGCAGCGCACGTCATCCAGGACAATGGGTCCATAGCCCTGACCAAACCGGGCATTTCCTGGGGCCGACACGGCCCAGCCACAGCCCAGCTGCCTGCAGACCACATTGGCATCACTGATGTCCCAGCTGTCATCACACACGGTGCCCCAGGAGCCTCGGTAGAGGACCTCCACTCGGCCCTGACACGTGTCACCTCCATTCACCAGCCTCAGGGCCAAACTGGATTCAGATCCTACAGGGGAACACAAGAATTCTTCATTCATCCCTATCATGCGGTCAAGAATCTAAGGAATGTTTCACACTTGCGGCGTGACACCTGGGCAGGCAGTCACCTTTGAATATGACTAAAACCGGAGATTCAGCTTCATCATAATTGAAGCAGCAAAGGCGCCCTATCCTGCAGGAGTTTATGAAGGCTCACCTTTGGGGAGCACCTGTGGCCACACTGGAGTGGACAGGAATGGATACCCCACTCTCTACCCTGGGCAAACACAGGATGGAGCTACATAGCTCCAGTTGGCAGACCCAGATCCTCCCCTGCTCAGGGACTTGTTGGCAAACCCACAGTCCTGTCTGGCTTCTGAACACGTCACAGGTATGACTAAGCCTTGGGCAGGCAGGTACAGGGACAGCCACTTTCACCCACTCTCCACACCTCTGGAGCCCATGGCCTGAGGGCCAGGAACGAGGTCCCAGTAGGATTAAGGATTCCTCCAGGGCTTGTTCCCAGCACCTGGATGAGGATCTTTCCTGATACTTGGAACAGGAGATGACGAAAGACAGATCACCAGCACCCTCCACCTCCAACATCAGACCCAAGACTGGTCTCCTGGAGACTCCACCTTCCTCCCATGCAACCCACAGGGACATCAACAAGAGAGGGGCCCACCATGAGCCTCATCCCGTCATTTACAGATAAAACATTTGTCCAGAGGTAGAGTGAGCCCTAGGGAGGGGTGAGAGGGTTATTAACCTTCTGTCGTTGCAGGTGAGCTGGTGGCCGGCCACGTGTCTGTAAGTTGCAACAAAGGCAAAGGCTAGAATTAAACTTGGGGGTGCAAAGCTCCTCAAGGAAAGTCTCCAGACAAGGCAGGCATCATGAAAACTACTCCATTTCTGGTTCCTGCCACTTGCTCCTCATGTGTCTGCCCAAGTCTTCAGTCCAGTGAGCACAGCCAGGGACACAGGCCTCACTGGAGACCACTCCAATCCCTCCTAACTCAAGTTCGGGATGTCTTCTTTTCAGCTACAAAGGGTTAGCATGCACCACCCATGGACACATGGACTGACGGCAGAATATGACACCATTGCTGAGACTCTGACAGTTCCAGCTAAAATGTTAGGGGAACCAAGGAGCCATCCAAAGGGGTATCAAGTTCCTGGTAAGTGGAGGCACCAGAAATACTATCCCTCACCCTGCCAAGCACGACCTCTGCCTTTCTGGATGCAGACGTGGCCCTGCAAAATCTGGAGTTTTTGAGCATGGAATACTATGCAGCCATAAGAAAGGATGAGTTCATGTCCTTTTCAGGGACATGGATAAAGCTGGAAACCATCATTCTCAGCAAACTGACACAAGAACAGAAAACCAAACACCACATGTTCTCACTCATAAGTGGGTGTTGAACACTGATAACACATGGACACAGGGAGGGGAACATCACACACTGGGGTATGTTGCAGGGAATAGGGGAGGAATAGAAGGGGTGGGGTGGTGGGGAGAGATAATATTAGGAGAAATACCTAATGTAGGTGACAGAAGAATGGATGCAGCAAACCACCATGGCATATGTATGCCTATGTAAATGTCCCCCAGAACTTAAAGTATAATTTAAAAAATCTGGGGTGTTTGAAGGAGTGAGGGATGGTATCAAACCTGCACTGTCATGCTTGCCCATGGAAAAGTCATGTTCAAGGCTTCAGCTGACATTGCCTTCCCAGGAGACTTTGGCAATCACTCTCAATCCTCACAAATGTCGTATCAGCTCTGAACAGAAAAGGCCCAAAGCTCATTAAATATGAGGCCACTTTCTGAACCTGTAAGGGTTGGCCATTGGGACAGTGTGAAACTGCTACATGAAAGATGAGATAAATGGAACAGAAGACAGAGACCTCCTGACCCCTATGTCTGATTAAAAAGTGTCATGCTAAGATCTCCATTACAGAGCACGGGAAAATAGTATGCCCTAGAGTATCCAATCTGAGAAGAATGAGGGCCCTGTGGAGTGCAGGAAGGGAGAATTGTACAGAAAGGGACGGAACATCCCAAGGAAAGATACTGGGGACTCACCTGGCCTGGGCGTCGACCGGGACTGGGCAGCTGTGAGAAAGAGGAGGTCAGATCAGATGCACTGCACAGAAGCTCACACAACCATACCAAAGGTGGAAGGAACTGGACAGGCCACGCCTTCAGTCCATCCTGGGTCCCCATCACAGAGTGGGGGCATGGCCATGCACGTCCCTGCAGAGATGCTCCTTGGAAGGCGTCTGGGCAGATCCTGTCCACTACTGCCACCTCCAAAGTGATTAACTTTGTGTCTGCCTGTAGTAATCAGGTTGACACAAAACCAGCCCTCTCCCTTGCATGTCTAGCAGTCCCTGAGACAGCAAATGTGAGGTCAGTCCAGCCAAAGTCCTACCTGTGACCTTTCAACCCAGCCCACAGGCATTCACAATGAAGCCTTACCTAGCAGGCATCATGGGGGCTGCCCGCCCCACACCAGACCTGGTGTACAAGCAAGACACTGCAGTGCCCTGGAGGGAGTGGTGGCCAAGGATTCACAGCCTGCAAAACCCAGGCTAGACACGGACAGACAGTGGTCTGCGCTCCCAGCCTTGGAGCTCCATTAACACAGAACCTTATTGAGCCTCAGCAAAAGATCCCACTTCCTAGCAGGAGCCTTTGGTTCTGGGCTCCTCCCAGTGAGACAATCCCTCCCCCATCCCTTACCTGTGCTTCATTCACCTCACCCTCACTCAAAACCCTTCAGGAGGAGAAAGACAGAAGCCTGGAGAGCCAGCATGCTACACTTTGGGTGCTGGTCCCATCCAGGTGTCATATTGCGATTGAATCCCCAAGTATCGAGGTGAGGCCCCATGCGTCCTGCTGGGTCACAGAGGCCAACCCATCATGAACACCTTAGTGCCCTCCCTGGTCAGGGGTGAGGTCTTCTCTTAGTTCCTAGCTGGAGCTGCTGGTTGAAAAGAAAAGAGCCTGGGCCCTCCCTCTTGCTCTCTTTTGCTTCCTATGTGACCTTCTCCCCATTCCCTTCTACCAGGAGTGCAAGCAGCCTGAGGGCCTCCACGGAAGCCAAGCAGATGCCTGCACTGGGCTCCTATGCGGCTGCAAAGCCACGGCCCAAATCAACCTCTTTCCTTATGAATAGCTGCGCCCCAGCTACTCCTTTCCAGCTACACTAAAAGACAAAGGCCCGGCGCTTTCCTCTTCTACCCCTGCTTGAGCTGCCTCACTAGGTGAACAAAGACATGACCCTCATTTCAATTTGGCCCATTGTCCTCCCTGACCTCCCCGATACCTGGCAATGTGGCAATGACTCTTGCTGTTTCCTAGCAGAGAACTAAGGAGATATCAGAAATCCAGGAAAAGTAGAAACAGCTCTGAGTAAGGAGATCAGAACAGAATGAGACCTCGATTCCTGACCACACTCCACCCAACAGAGAGAGCCCAAAGCCTTGGAGGCCCACCTGAGCAGATGACACCAGCGTCTTCACTGTGCCGACAGTTGTGGGAGAGCCAGCCACTGTGGGGACACCTCCACAGGTAGGACTCGTGTCCTGAGCAGCGCACGTCATCCAGGACAATGGGTCCATAGCCCTGACCAAACCGGGCATTTCCTGGGGCCGACACGGCCCAGCCACAGCCCAGCTGCCTGCAGACCACATTGGCATCACTGATGTCCCAGCTGTCATCACACACGGTGCCCCAGGAGCCTCGGTAGAGGACCTCCACTCGGCCCTGACACGTGTCACCTCCATTCACCAGCCTCAGGGCCAAACTGGATTCAGATCCTACAGGGGAACAGAAGAATTATTCATCCATCCCTATCAGCAGGTCAAGGATAAGACATGTACAACACTCAGGGCACTGGGCAAAGAAGTCAAGTTTGAATGCAAACGCCAAAGTCACCAGGGCATGAGGTCACGACTGAAGATGACTGTACCCAGAGGTTAAGCTCTGTCCTAGTGGAAGAAGTGATACCTATTCTACCCAAGTCTACGAAAGCTCAACTTATGGGTAAGCACATATGACCCCAGTGGAGGTGACAGGAATGGACACCTTACTCCTCACTCTGGGTGCACACAGGACAGAGCTCCACAGCTACAAATCTAGGCCTGGGCCCAGACCCATGCAGTATTCAAGAGCTCATTGACACCTGCGTGGTCCTCTCTGGCTTCTGGTAAATTGGCAGGGATGCCAAGGCCTGGGCCAGGCAGGTGCAGGGACCAGCCCTTTCGGAGTGCACCACTCTTTGGAGGTCTCCAGCTCATGGCCTGAGGGCCAGGAACGTGGTCCCAGTAGGATTAGGGAGCCCTCCAGTGCTTGTCCTGAGTCACCAACACCCTCCACCCTCCAACATCAGACCCAGGACTGGCTCTCTAGAGACTCCACCTTCTTCCCCATGTAACACACAGGGACATGAAAAGAGAGGGGCCCACCATGTGCCTCATCCTATCAGTTTCAAACAAAAATTTGCCCAGAGATAGTGAGTCCTAGGGAGGGGTGAGAGGATTTTTTACCTGCTGTTGATGCACTTGGGGCTGTGGTCGGCCAAATGTCTGTAAATTGCAACAAAGGGAAAAGACAGAATTAGACTTGAAGGGAAAAGGTCCAAAACAAAAGGTTCTCTGGGTGAACCTTTTCTCTGGGTGGGGGAATCAACCAGACCACAATTTCAGTTCCTGTTTCTGCCACTTGCTTCCCATGTGTCTGCCCAGGTCTCCTCTACTGTGAGCTCATCCAGGAACAAAGGTCCTGCTGGAGGCCAGACTAACTCCCCCATTGTCTAATCCTGGGTATTTTTCTCTCTGTCAGAGGATGCTCCCCACCATGTCATCCCACATCTGCTCACACATGGACTGACTGGAGCATCAGACGGCTTTGCTGAGGCTCAAACACTGGCAGCTAAAATGTTAGAGGAAGCAGGAGCTGCCCAGGGGACTATCAGGGGTCTGGCTCCCTGCCCAAGCACAAACTCTCCCTCTTCAGGATACGAATGTGGCCCATGATCATCTTGGAATCTTTCAAGCAGTGATGAATGGGGGTATTGAGCCTGTACTGACAATGCCCTCGAGGTTAAGCTCTGTCCCAGTGGAAGAAGTGATACCTATTCTACCCAAGTCTATAAAAGCTGCACTTATGGGTAAGCACATATGACCCCAGTGGAGGTGACAGGAATGGACACCTTACTCCTCACTCTGGGTGCACACAGGACAGAGCTCCACAGCTACAAATCCAGGCCCAGGCCCAGGCCCAGACCCATGCAGTATTCAAGAGCTCATTGACACCTGTGTGGTCCTCTCTGGCTTCTGGCAAATTACCAGGGATGCCAAGGCCTTGGCCAGGCAGGTGCAGGGACCAGCCCTTTCGGAGTGCACCACTCTTTGGAGGGCTCCAGCTCATGGCCTGAGGGCCAGGAACAAGGTCCCAGTAGGATTAGGGAGCCCTCCAGTGGTCATTCTGAGCACCTAGATGAGGATCTTTCCTGACCACTTGGAACAGGATCCCACAGGAGAGAGGTCACCAGCACCCTCCACCCTCCAACATCAGACCCAGGACTGGCTCTCCAGAGACTCCACCTTCCTCCCCATGTAACACACAGGGACATGAAAAGAGAGGGGCCCACCATGCGCCTCATCCTATCAGTTTCAAACAAAAATTTGCCCAGAGATAGTGAGCCCTAGGGAGGGGTGAGAGGATTATTTACCTGCTGTTGATGCACCTGGGGTTGTGGTCGGCCTAATGTCTATAAATTGCAACAAAGAGAAAAGACAGAATTAGGGTCTAAGTCACATTCTACACTCAGGGCACTTTCTAATGGCCAAAGTCACCCAGGCAGGCAGTCACCTTTGAATATGGCCAGAGATTAGGCTTCATCACAGAGAAAGTGCTGACAGCCTATTTTGCCCAGGTCTATGGAAGCTCAAGTTTTGGGGAAGCACCTGTGACCCCAGTGGAGGGCGTAAGAATAGACATCCCACTTCCCAATCAGGATGGAGCTGGACAGCTACACATGGCATGCCCAGACCCCTCCCTTATTCAGGAGCATGGTCCTGTCGGGGATCTGGCTGGCACAGTACCAGAGATGGTAGGACCTTGGGCAGACAGGTGCGAGGACAGACACTTTTACCTAATCTTCGCAAGCCTGCATGCATCTCATGGCCTCAGGACCAGGAACGAGGTCCCCATAGGATTAGGGAGACTCCCGGGCTCATCCTGAGCACATAGAAGAGGATGTTTCCTGACCACTTGGAACAGGACCCCACGGGAGAGAGGTCACCAGCACCTCCCACCCTCCAACATCGCATCTAGTTCTGGGTCTTCAGAGACCCCACCTTCCTCTCTACTCAACCCACATAAACATGAAGTGAGGCGCCCACCTCATCCTATCATGAGGCTAAGGGTTCTTGATGATATTCTGGGAGGTCCCGCCCCTGTTCCCAGTGCCGAGCTCAACCTTGAGCCTACTGTTTATCATCTTCTGCCATTCTCCCACCGTTACCCCACTTCCCCACCTCTCTTCACGGCAATCATAAGCGATCTATAAAATCCAACGTGTATCCAGAGGTAGAGAGTGAGCTCTGGGGCGTGCTGAGAGGATGATTTACCTTCTGTGATTACAGGTGATGTCCTGGCAGGCCAACTCTCTGTAAACAGCAACAAAGAGAAAGGATACAGTTGGACTTGAAGGGAAAAAGGGAAAAAGCAAGCAGTTCTCTGGACCAGGCAAGCATTGTGAAAACAATTCCACTCCCAGGTCTGGCCAATTGCTCCCCATGTGTCTGCCCAGGTCCTGCCCAGGGCACTGATTCAGAGACAAAGGACACCATGCAGGCCCTTCTATCTCTCTCTAAGACAGGGATGACCTCTTCTCAGTTAGGAAACCTCCACCACCCCCAGAACCACCATCCACTGACCCACGGACTGACTGGCACATCTGACACCATTGCCGAGACTCTGACACTTGCAGGTAAAATGTTTGAGGGACCAGGGGTCCACCTAGGGGGAAAATCAGGTTTCCTGGTAAGTGAAGGCACCAGAAACATTTCTTAGCCTTTCTCTCCCCCGAGTATGGCCTCTGCCTCTTCTGGATACAGACATGGCCCTGCAGAATCTGGGGATCTTTCAAGTAGTGGGACATGGAGTATCAGGCTTGTATTGACCTTGCCTTCAACAGAATATTAGAGGGTATCATCCTCAATTCTCAGAAACGTTGTATCAGCCCTGAATATAAAGGGGCCAAGACTCATTCAACAGGGGGCCTCTTTCTGAACCTGTAAGCGTCCCATTGGGACCGCATGGAACTAAAGCCGAGATGGATTGAAGAGAACGCAGAAGCTGAATGCTATGCACAGTTAAGAAGCACCCTGCTGGGGTCTCAGTTACAGAGAGAGTGGGCGGGGGGAATGATATGCCCCAGAGTATCTCTGCAGAGAAGCAGGAGGGCTCTGTAGAGTGGGGATGGGGTAACTGAGCAGAAAGAGAAGGGACATCCTGGGGAAGGATGGTGGGGACTCATCTGGCCTGAGCATCAACTGTGCAGCTATGAGGAAAAAATGCAGAATTAGACACCAAGCACTCAGTGACCCCTGTTGAGATTCACTTGGGATGGTTGGCAAAAATATTACAGAAAATATTTAAGATATATGAGGGAAAGTTATAGATTAGTCTCAAACATTTTGGAAGGCCAAAAGGTTTTATTGAGGCAGAATGAAGGTGATCGGCCAGTCCATTAAGTTAGGGAGAGAGAGACGATCAAAGGCCTTACCCCACACCCATTTGTCTCCACTCCATTTACTCATGTTAATTTTGTGCCGGGTGGCCCTCTCTGGGGAAGATCAAAGGGGAATTGCCTGTTAATAGCATTTACTACAGGCTCCCAGAACCTAAAGCTTTTGTCATTCTGGTAACCATGTTAATTATCCACAAGTGTGTTAACTTAGAATCTCTGCTGTAAAATCTCAACAGAATAAAAGGGTGATGGACATTTCGCCCCCTGAAAGCAGCCAACGGCCATCCCCAGCCCACTTGAATCACTGCAATGATTGTGTGAGAGTGCATTCCTTCATCAGGATCTGCAGGCCAGACTTCCTCAGGCAGTGGAGACCGATGGCTCAGATCCCAACTAGAGTTAAGGCAGAAGTGGCGTGGGGTATCCACACCCTGAGCTGATGCCCTGCCAGCGCCCACTCTGAAGCCCTCAGTCCCTCAGGGTCCCCACACACCCCAGCATTGCCTCTATTTCTGTGCCTGCGGCCCACTCTCAGGGAATATAAATGTCACTTTGGTGCCTGGGACAGGCCACAATAACCTGGGTATCAACAACAATGAGCAGCACACAGCCACCCTAAGCAATGAGTTGACAAAGACGTCAACTCTCCCTTGAGCTGCGATGAGCCTGAGGTTTGACACGGATTCCTGGTGATCCTCTGGGAGGCTCCCCCACCATCTGTCACTCGCTGCCATCCTCCCACCCTTACCCCACTTCCCTCTCTTCACAGTAATCAGAAGTGAACTGTTTACACTTGAGTCCTTCTCTCTGAGTCAGTGGTTGACAGCACTCATGGTAATACAGTGTTGAAGGGGAGGGGAGGCTTCACCAACCGGATCCCCACAACGTGCTGTCCCTGAGAAGAAGCCTCAGGGAAAATAGGGGGTATGAGTTATGAGGATGTTCCTGGAGCAGAATAAAAGGTTCCTCATTTCTGCTGTCAGCATGCTGGACCTGTGTCTGAACACTGGTGCCTCAGTCACCTCCAAACCAATGTTGGGGCACTGCTTGCAGTTTAGGGATCTGTGCTGACCATGGCATTGCACACACAGGCTGGATAATCCCAGCTAAACTCCAGAGTCACCGGATGACCAGGAAAGGCTTGGTGGGTGGGGGCCCTGGAGTGAGAAACCTGTTTGTTACTATATTCTCTGAATATAGTCTGTCCCTAGAATGGGCTCAAGTGATTTTTTTTTTTTTTTTACTAGAGACAGGGTTTGCCATCTTGCCCAGAGCTGGTCTTGAACGCCTGAGTTCAAGCAATCTGCCTGCCTCAGCCTCCTAAAGTGCTGGGATTACAGGCATGAGACACCACACCCGACCCTCCAGAAATCTTTGATGCCTCACTGAGCAGATGACACCAGCATCTTCATGATGGCCACAGTTGTGGGAGAACCAACTGTTGTGGGAGCAGTTCCACAGGTAGGACTCATACCCTGAGCAGCGCATGTCATCCGGGACAATGGGTCCTGAGCCCTGGCCAAACCAAGCATCTCCTGGAGCCAACATAGCCCAGCCACAGCCCAGCTGCTTGCAGACCACATTGGCATCATTGGTGTCCCAGCTGTCATCACACACGGTGCCCCAGGAGCCTTGGTACAGGACCTCCACCTGGCCCTGACACCTGTAACCTCTATTCACCAGCCTCGGGGCCAAACCGGAATCGGATCCTAGAGGAAGGCACAACATTTCTCTTGCACATTCCTACTGAAAGACAAGATCCCAGGGCCTTCAGGGCATTCAGAGTCTTCCCCATTCAGAGTCTTTGAGAGAATCTCTAACTAGGCTGGGCTCTAACACACCTTGAGGTTAGAATTCTTCATGAGGAAGAGGACAGTGACTGCTCGGCCCAAACCCAAGCCTCAGCGCTTCAGCTGGAGGACCTGCCCCTCCTAATCTACATCCTGGAGGGGGCCTGGAGATCCACATGACCCTTCTCTAAGCAGACCATGGGCTCTGCCTGATTCCCTCAGACAAGGGAACAGACAGAACACCCCACACAGAAGAGCAGCGCGATGACATCAGGCTGTCCTGGGAGGAGCTCCGATGTGTATCTGGCATGCGAAAGTTGGCATGGCGCACATTTCGCACATGATCTTCCTGGCTAGGATGGCTTGAGTCAGCACAGAGCTGTAGAGATGGGGGATCTAGGCTGTCACTCTGGACTGGAGACTGATCCCACTGGTCTCTACTTCCAAAGCACAACAGGCTGTCAGAGATGCCACATTCTGACTGATTTCTCCCAACCCCTACAAACATGGGCAATGAAGGAAGCTTCACTCTAGCTGACCTCTGGGGTCCAGAAGGTCACTGTGTGCTCACAACATTCCCTCCCATCCCATTCCCTAAAAGTTTTCCTGAATCACAGTCAAGCCCATGGATGTAGTTGGCATTATGACCTATAGAAAGGGAAGAGTAAAGCCAGTCTCACCCTCAGTTCCAGTGTGATTTGTGTTCTTCATCACAGGGAAGAGAAAGAGGTTAAGTCAGGCCTCACTCCATGGGCCAGAGGGAGAGGGAAACTGAGGGCTTGAGGAACAGGAGGGCCTGATGCATGTACCATTCAGCATTTCCAACTGCTCCATGCCAACCCTGGGCAAGCCAGAGGCCTTGGTGAGAATGCTGTCCTTGAGCTTCTCCTAGGGCCAAAGTTTCCCATGGGAAATGGGAAGTGACTTCCCTTCCCAAAGCCCAGGCTGCCAGAATCCCAGGCTGTACTGACTATGTCTCCCAGATTGCTCGCTGGAGGTACACAAGGGGGATGTACAGGACCTCTGGTGCCCATAAGCTGAAGGATTATGATTTCTCTCTATTAGGAAGAAACAACACTGGCCTAATATGGGCTTAGAGAAACGGCAAGGGCAAGGATGCTGTCCTAGCAATTCGGCTATGTTAGCAGGTAGGCACCTGCCTCTGAAGGCCCTGTAGCCAGAGATCCAGCACCCTAGCCTGGCCAGGGGTCAGCACAGCTGGGTGAGGACCACAGGAGTGAGCTGCATGGATAACAGAATCTCTAGAGACAAGACAACAGGCTCCACCTTGGAACTCCTTGGAGATGCATCTTCAGCTTGATTCCTCCCCAGTCGCAGACACAAACCATGGAAGAGATGCCTGTTCAGACCTGAGGACTTATTTGGAAGGGCCTCTCTTGGGAGCTAAGCACCCTACTCTCTATGCCCTCTGTGCCTTTTCTGGATCAGAGGTGAACCTAGGGGTGCAGTTGGGTAATAAGCCCACAGGGATCCCCCAGCGTAGACATTACCTTCTGCTACAGTTGTCTCCAGGGGCGCCTTCGAGGGAAACAGAGAAGCTGCAGGGTGGAGAAAGGAAGAGCTCATTGACGGTAGCCCTCTCCTGGGGAGGTTTGGCCCATGGCTTCCTCAGTTCTGAAGCAGAGGCTGGAAGCACAGGTGCTAAGGGCACCCTCCATTGCCAAAGCCAAACACGTGCCAATGGCTCTGTCACTCTACTGGTGATAGGCTTGGCTAGGATGCCACATGAGCATCCTTTGCTCGTTACTCTCCCCCCACCTCCTCTGCTGCCACAGCCTCTATTCAAAAAGTCACCCAGTCCATTCACAGACCCATCCTAGTCATAGGATTGAATGTCAAATGACATCTGTCTGTTTCTATAGGTCAAACACATGCTCAAATGACAAATATGCACCATCACTGAAATACTCCTGAGAAGGTGATTCAACTAGAAAGAAAGGTGGTTTCCGGAGAAACCCAACCTTTTCAGAATGCCAAAATAAACCGCTCGCAAGGTGGCTGCGTGGAAGACCATGTCCCCATGGGGAGCCCAGTCCTACGTGGTGCTTGGATTATCAAGGGCACATCCCGTGCAGGGTGGCATGGGCTCAGTCCAGTCCACACAGCACATGCCAGAGTTGCTCTAGAAGTGGACAGTTTAACCAGAAACTCCTCCTGGGGGAACAAGCCATGGGACAGTGTCCTTGGAGGTTTCTTCCTGGGTTAAAGGACCCCTTGGTGTCCACACATCCTGGCACTATGTGAACAACTGAAATCAGCACTGGAATTTGCTGGGTTGGGTCCAGGAGAAGCTCTCTTTTCCACTGAGGATGTTAAGTACCTTATTTGTCATTTAATTCCCAATAAAGAGAATGCTTTGGTTCGCTCCTCAATTTGATGTTGGTATACATTCCTGTCTTAGGGACCAGCAGTTCCCCTATCCTCCTCAGCCTTTCAAAGAGGAGAAACTGCCACTTAGGAAGATATTTATTTGGTGTCCCAGGCCAGGGGTGGTCATGATGCTGCTCATTAGAACCAGTCCATGAGGTGACTGCATCAGCACGCTCGGAGGGACTGAGACGGAAGCCTGCCTCCCCCACGTCCAGCTTCAGAAGGACAGCCAGTGATCCCTTGACCTTCACTGTCTATGAAAAGGGGCAGCACCACCTGCTCTCCAACATCAACGAGGACATAACTGGCAACAAAGCAAGGAAACTGCAGAGCACACGCGTGTGTACACACGCAGCTTATGGGTTGTGATACTGACTCTGACTTGCACATATACAGAGCAAGGTGATATCCACAGTACCTGAGCACACGACACCAGCATCTTCCCTGTGGCCACATTCGTGGTTGTACCATCCGCTGTGGGGACAGCTTGACAGGTAGGGCTCCCTTCCCGAGCAATGCACGTCACCCAAGAGAATGTTTCCGGAGCCCTCACCAAAGTGGGCCCCGCCCAGGGCTGACACAGAATAGCCACAGCTGAGCTGCCTGCAGACAACATCTGCATCCTGGGTGTCCCAGCTGTCATCACACACAGTGCCCCAGTAGCCTTGGTACAGGACCTCCACCCGGCCCTGACACCGGTCACCTCCATTCACCAGCCTCAGAGGCAGACCTGCAGTGACACAGCGGGAAGCCCTTATCCCGGTGCTCTCGGCCCCTTTGACTTGCATCCCTACCCCCCTCATTCCACTTTCTTCCTCTGACCAGAACTTACATATCCCTGTTCTTCCACGTTCTGTCTTTGCCCTCTTCTCCTTCTGTATTTCCCCCTGGAGAACCTCATGCACTCAGAACTTTCTAGAGGACCCCCAAATCCACCTCTCTGTCCCTGACTCCGTCCCGACAGCCCAGCTCTAATCTCCAGACCAACATTTTCAGAGGCCTCCTGCCCATCCCACCCCATATATCATCCCAAACTCAACGCCGCCTCCTCTTTCCATTTGAATTAAGGATGTCACCATTCTCCACATCAACCATGCTGGGAATGCGGGCATCATATTCAACTCCTCCTTCTCCTCACATCCTATATCTAACATCACCAAGATCCTTTCCTTGTCATTTTCACTGCCATTTCACCAGGATAAGCCTTCATCCCCTTGAACCTGGCCTACTCCCAGCTGAATCTTCAATCTCTGCTCCTCCTCTCTCTAGTCCATCCACATGCATTGATTCCACCATCACTGATCAAGTGCTTACTCTGCATTCATTTTTGTGCTAAGAGATTCATCGGTCTCCAGATGGTCTCCAAGTTTTATCTTTACAAAGTACAAATATATTCACCTCACTTCCCTGCTCAAAATGCTTTAATACACTCTCCACTTCCATCAGAGTCAATTCCAAGAGTGAGCCTTGACCTACTTTTCCAGCCTCCTCTCCTGGGAGGGGCTGAGACAGCCTGTGTCCCACCATGGAGCTGGCCATGCTGGGAAGTCAAAAGGCACCATCTTCCTGCCAGACATGATGCCACTAGACCACCCACTGTGGTAAGCTGAATTGGTGGTGTGAGGAAAACAGGCACAGGTCCTGAGGGCGCAGCCCACCCTCCTAATGGCGGGAGCCAGATCCTGGGTATGGCTTTTCAATGGTGAGTATGATCACAAGAAACTTGTGGTCACAGAGTGAGAGGCTGGAATGGGATGCAATGGGAGGCGGCAGGTTGCTTTTCCTCCTAGAGGAAGGAAAAGCCAGCTGGACAATCTATAAGGCATCCCCAAGGTGCATTCTGGAACTCCTATGCTCTGTCCCTCCCCAGTCTCAGGAACATAATCCATGGAAGAGGTGCCTGTTCAGAGCTGAGGCCTTATTCAGAAGGGCCCCCCTTAAGAGCTAAACACCCTAACTTCTATGTCCTCTGTACCTCTCCTGGATCACAGATGAACCTAGGGGTGCAGCGGGGCAATGAGTCCCCTCCTGGTCACCCTGTGAATGGTCCCTCCAGAAGAGTCTCCTGGCCTCAGCCTCTCCCTTGCTGCATATTGGTCAGAAAGCTGCCTTTCCCAGGCCATTTCTGGATCTCTCGAGGCATGTCCTGGAAGGGGAGGGACTGGTCTCAACAGTGCCAAGGGCCCAGGGGCAGAGTCATCCTAAGGGAACACATAGGAGACTCTGAAAAATCAAACTTGGGCACAAAGATCTTCACACTCTCGCTGGAGAGACAAGGACATTGAGCCAAAGTCAAAAACCAGGGCAGGGGCAGAAGGAGGCACCTATCCTCGACTCAAATCTCTACCCTACTACTCACCAGACACATGACCTTAGACACAGAAATATTGACAAATTACCTAACTGTGCCCTGGTTTTCCCATCTGCAAAATGGGTATAATCATATTACTTAGCTCAAAGTGTTCTTGGGAAGATTTCATGATAATAACACTCACTATGTGCATTAGTTGAGCATTTATTGTGTGCCAGGTGGTATTTTAAGTCTTTTAAAAATATATCAATTCATTTCATACATGAAAATCATTTGATACAGAGTATATAACAAGTGCTTGGTAGATGTTAGTTATCTTCCAGATATCTTTTATTATTAGTGAAAAGAAAAGGGGGGCCAGGTGTGGGTGCCTCACGCCTGTAATCCCAGCACTTTGGGAGGCTGAGGCGGGCGGATCACGAGGTCAAGAGATCGAGACCATCCTGACCAACATGGTGAAACCCCGTCTCTACTAAAAATACAAAAATTAGCTGGGTATGGTGGCGTGTGTCTGTAGTCCCAGCTACTCCGGAGGCTGAGGCAGGAGAATCGCTTCAACCCAGGAGCAGAGGTACTGACCTTTTGTTTCAACTACCTCTCCTCACACCAAACTGAAGCTAATCTCATCTGATAAATGACTGAGAGTCAGAGAGCAAGAGGAAGGAGAATGTCAGCTGAGATTGACGGGTATGCACCTGGAACATGCCAAGGGTCTTGGCACCCATGTGTCCTGTCCCCTCCCCCCGCCCCCAGGATTCCTGCATTCGACAAGGTGGACATTTGCTGTGACCACAGCTGTGATCAGCCTCAGCTAGCCGACAGCAGCAGAGGGGAACTGGCCAACCCCAGCAGGGCAGAGGAGTAAAGAAAAGCTCTTACCAGAGTCTGTAGTCCCTGGGATCCACCAACCTGGAAAGAAGGCAAATTTGTCTTAGAAACACGATTTACAAATGGTTTCCAAGTCACAGAAATTGGCTTTTGCTTCACTGTATAATCACACCAGAGGGCGCTGTGGCTCAATCTTGGGTTTGCATGTCTCTGATATTCTTGATTAATGAGTTTCACACAGCAGATTAAAGCAAGTGGATTGGATATGAAGAGAGCCATCATTTTAGGTGTAATAAAGCACATGTCTCTTTATCAGCCCCTAACGCTATGGCTTATAGTGACAGGATGTAATCTATGCATGGAAGAAAGGGCTGGACAAGAGAAGACAGTTTAAGCTGTTGTCCAGTCTGAAATTTGAATATAGCTGGCATTGACAACAGCCACTCAGATGCCCCCTAAATAAGAAAATATGTTAGTGTCAGATGTTCTGTTCCTTCTGACCCATAACCTGAAAACATTGTATTCTACCTTGAAGCAAACAGAAATCTAGAGATCCCTGGATCTTTGTATTCAGTGAGGCCAGACAAGGTCCATCAGACTCAATTGTAGCTTTTGAGTTTCTTTTTGAGCAGTTCTAACTATACTTGTGAGTATTGATATTTCATAGCTTTTATATATTTTAGAGGTCCTTCAAAGATCAGAGAGAATATGTAGTCATTTAAAAAATAGGATAAAACTCATTCTAATCACCATATGGATCCATTAGATCCTTTTATAAATCCAAGATTCATTATTGGCATCTGACTTCACTTTTCCTATATCTTGAAACATTTTACTATTTTATGATCCAAGAAATTATTGCGTCGTTATTTATCAATTATTATACTGTAAGAAAAGGGTAGAATGGTGGCACTGCCTAGAAGGAAGAAGAAATAGTGATATAAGTCATCATTCTTCCGTGCCCAAAGTATTGTGTTTTCTTTCAAGAAGTATGTTTTTTTAAAGATTGGAGACACTGTCTTCATAGTCTGCTTTTAGCTTTCATTGAATGCAGTTAAGAATTCAAATTTCTTCATTATCTTCTAGTGATGGCAAAGAGAAGGAAATTAACAAAGGAAGATGTTTTGCAATCGTTAGATGAACCTGAAGAGGAATATAAAGAGACAAGACGCAGCCCTCCAGACACTAACAGTGGTAGAACTGATGTACGACAGAAATCTCAGACTATGAGTCTTCAGATGATGATATCCTAGATGAATTTCTCAAATTCAAGAATCCAGGAGTCAATGATGTAATTCCAAGGTAAAATATGCTCATACCCACTTCGACAGGGATTTCATCACATGATATTTTGCAGCAAGAACCTGGACCATCTTATTTTGCTAAAAAAGACATGTGGTAGTATTCTTTTGTCTTTCGTGATGTTTATATACCAACATCTATGCGATACAAAAAGGTCTGCTATGTTTAAATTCTTATTAACATTTCTAATATAGTTTCTTTCATTATTCCTTTTCTTTTTGCTTCCTGGCAAAAGGGGGATTAGGCACTTGACCAAAGTATCAGATCATTATTTTATTTTTAGAGACAGAGTCTTGCTCTATTACCCAGGCTGGATTCAAATTCCCAGGTTCAAGCAATCCTCCTGCCTCCAGCGCTGGAGTAGCTGGTACTACAGGCATGTGCCACCACACCCAGCTTCTCAGATTCTTTGTAAATGTGGGTCCTGAGAGCATGACAATCATGGTTCAGAAATTTGAATTTCTCCAACAGAACCAACAGACCAGTGACAGGATTCGCTGTGTATGTCAGAGAACTGCTTCACCTGCCTCAATAGCCTGAATGTGAGGTCCACAACGGGCTTCCCCAGCTGCCCTGCTTCATATTGATGGCTTAGGAAGGGGGCCGCTGAAACCATGTGACTACGCACCCCTGATAAGGAAGCAACTCGAAATAGAAACCAGAACATTCTTTCAACAGAGATAGCAAACTAGGGAACATCTGTACCAGAACATCCCCACCTCATTTTTCACATGCCACCCCTGCTCCCACACTCAAGGATACGCTGACAGACGTGCCTGAGAGATCCTGCCATTCAAAACTCTGCCATTGAAACAGTCTACATGACACCATGCAATTCCCACTGCCAGGCCCTGGGTATCCTGCTTAATTTCATGGCAGTCAAACTCATCCAACTCAGAAACTCGGAGCTCCGGGGCCTTGACAAGGCTCATCTATAGCACGGAACAGAAAATTGAAGTTGTTTCTGGTTCTGCTACGTCCACACATTTTGAATAGACCCTTCTGCACATGTTGAGACCAACTTATAGCCTTCCAGGAATAGACCACATAGCTGTAGATGACTCCAGCTGCCATTGTGGGAATGGTAGTAAATTACCTATAGGGGGATAACTCCAGCTGCCATTGTGGGAATGGTAGTAAATTACCTATAGTGGGATAACTCCAGCTGCCATTGTGGGAATGGTAGTAAATTACCTATAGGGGAAGCTCCCACTTGTTTTTTTTTTTCCAGGAAATGGTGACAGGCTGATGTCTATCACTGGGGATCAGTGTCCAACATAGCTAAGCCATCAGAATGGCCCAACCAGAAGGCACCAAGAGATCTGTCAAGGTATTTCCCAAAGACATAAGCATTTTCTAAGAGATCTGGTGTCTTTCCATTTGAATTCTGTCACTGCCACCAATCTCATGTTGAGAAACATATCTGTTGTGTATTTACTGCTGAGGAAGAGCTTGAGGAAAAAAAAAAAAAAAGAATAGGCAAGGTATCATCAAGCTAGCCCATGTCTACCAAGTAGGCTACTCCAACGATGGTGGGAGAGAGGTCCAAGGGGAGGAGCACTATGGGAAGAGAACCTAAGTAAACGTTCATTTTAACTTACTGTGAAGTCTTACTGTGTCTTCACAGTTCCTTGAAGATAATACCGTTTTTATACATGTTACCTCTTTTAACCTTCCCGCAAACCCTGCCATCTGCACTTACAGATGAGAAACTGAGGCACAGACATTTAGAGAGTAGGTAAGGACACAGAGACTGTGACGTCCCTGTCCACCATCTTCCCCTGTACTCCCTCCTGCAAAACCACTGTCTGCTACCGACCCACTCCTGTGGTTCTTGCTGATGAAAGGAAGGTGGTCCACACCGACCTACTTTCCACGGCCCACCAAAGGTGGGTCTTCAATGGGAAGTCACCCAGCAGCCTTGACCAAAGCTCCACATTGTTTTTCTATTGACTTTGCAGCACTATTCAAGATAAGACCATTTTGATCCTCGCAGTTTTCATCTTTAAGGAGGTGGTAAGCCCTTACCCTTCATCCATCACAAGCACACAGGTTATCTCACACTCCTAGGCGCTATCTTTCCTGCTCTATAGTCTGCATCTGTCTCAGCATGGTTTAAGGATTTTGTGGATGGGAGCCTCATGTGAGCCCTTGCCATGGAGGCTCACTGTCCCCAAGTAAATAAAGACAGCCGAGGGGATGGTGTGGAGGAAGTGGAGGATGCCACAAAGTGGATGTGGCGATGGACTGTTCATTGCTCAATGTGTCAGTTTAAGACATGACCAAGAATGAGCTCTCCAGAGATTTCCTCATTGACCATGTCTGCAGGCTTACCCCTGCCCTCTTTCTCCAGATTTAGACAAGGACCTAAAAAGCAAATAAGAACCGAAACTGACAGCAGCTGTGCACGCACCTGCTCTTTACCCCTTTATCCCCAAAGACCAATATTTTCCTGCCACCAAAGTCAAGCACCACCTTCCAAACTTCACTGATCAAAAGTCTTTTTTCCTAGGCTTCAGCAAACGTATCAAGAACACAGAGAAATGGGACTTCGGGAGAGCCTCCCATCAGAGCACCACCCTGACTAGACAGCACATTAAGGCGGCTGAGCAGGGAGAACATATGGCTTCTGGGGGATGGTGGCTACAGTCAGTCTAAGTCTGTGTCTGTTTCTTTCAAGTTTCTGACAACAGTGCCAGCGGGTAAGAGGCAAACACTCTTCTTCCCCACTCTGCCTGCTACTCCTGCACCTGTTCCAGACCTCAGCTCCCTGCACCTTCCTCAGGGTCTCTCTCCCGATGGGCTGCTCACACCTCTCCTGCCATGCACTCTGGCTCCAGCGCTTTTCACAATTGTCATTGTGCCTGTGTGATCAGTTGATGCGTCATCCCTGAAGGCAGGGGACATGTTCCCAAACTGTGGGCTCTCCTGCTTAGAAGGCTCCTAGGAGGACTGGGGTTCTCCAGATGATGTGGCAAGGATGTTAAGGCTATTTTGAGAGGTCAATGATAAAAGGTCAATGATAGCAACCTGCTTATGAAAAAGTCTTTAATATCAACAAGTCAGACTTAGGATGCAGCAAGAACTGCTGGGAAATGTTAAAAATTTAAATTCACTTGACAACAATAAATTAAAATAGGCAGCATTTAAAGGACAGGCACACACACACGCGCACACGCACACACACACACACACACTTCTGTCACTTTCTTTGTAACTTCTGACCAAAGTAGTGCTCCCAAAATTACACTGCAAACACCAAAGTTTAATCTGTATTGGGCCATGCAGGATGGTTTCTCAAACTGTGGTCTGCAAACCACCCTCGTGTGTGATTTTGCAAAACTGAGGATTCTTGAGCCTCACCTCAGGCCCTCCAAATAAGGGTCTCTAGAGGGAGGAAGAGGAATTCCAAAGACCTATTCAAACAAATACTCTAGTTGATTCTGACATGCATGATGTTTAAGGGTAAGACAAAATAAAATTCACACACACACACACACACACACACACAACTGTATAACCATGTGGTCCATTCATGCTGTACTAAAATAAGTTTCTATTGCCTTTGTATTTCAAGAAGGGACACAAATCATAGTTTTATGGAGTCCTTATGCCATTCATTAAAGCTCAGAAAACCAGCATTTATTCTTAAGATATAAATAACTATATAGGATTAAAAAATGATAAACTAATACAGGATATTCTTTTCAATGTACTTACTACGTGTTGTGAGATGATCTGATTCAGCGGCTGAAAAGAAATAAAAGAAAAATCAGACACATGTATTTCACCCACAGGAATCCTGAGCAAAACACACACCTTTGAACGAATACAGTGGGCCGTGAGGTAGAGCTGTGGCAGCTACACGTGAACCACCATCAACAGATCTATAGTCTGTTCTGGAAATGGAATCCAAACGGGTAACAATTTCATGAGTCTTCAGCGTACCCAAGGCAAAATGCTAAACTAGCCCCTGGAAATGTGGTGATTAAAAAAAAGGTTCTCAATATCTTAAAAATAGGTTTAGTAAAATGCTCAGTAATAACTTATACATTTGCTCCTGTATATTTCCTGCTGAAGATAATTTGTTATTTTACTAAAATACAATTAACCCTTCATCATGGTAGAAAAGCAAATTAGGCTTGTGCACAAATGTGGGGCTCACTGCTTTTCCTATTTCTTTGAAAAAAAATTAGCCCATCCAGCTTGTATTTATGGGCCTGAGGAGTTGAGTTTGAGAGTTTTGAATTAATTTGCTAGCTTTCAACGAACTGAATGAAATTGCTTAAAGTGTAGATTAGCAATTACTTGCATATAAATTCAAAAAAGTCAAGTGATGTGTTGACAAAAACCAGGGGAGAGGAAAATGCCTTTTTTTCCCATAAAATGACAGAGAGAATCATTTATCGAGAATGACTACCTCTCTTAAGGTTAGTGGGAGAATTAAAGGAGAAAATGTAGATGAAATTCTTATCCTACTAACTGGCACATGGTCAGCACACCACAGTATTAGGTACTAGAGTAATATCAGCGATGATGATGACTGATTGCACGATTTCTACCACTCGCTGTTTTAAGCATTTCACGTATATCACGTCATTTGGTCTTTATGGCAACTCATGCTGGAAAAGTTTTTCCTCCTGGCTTATAGAGATGTAAACTGAAGCCCTTAGAGGTAAAATAGCTTGCCCAAGATGATAGTATTATTTCCATTTGCCTTTTAGAGAAACAGAGACTTAGGGAGGAATAGGTATAATTGCTATGGTTACTCTGCCCTGTGCTACACATTTGCATTATCTCTTGGAGGCCCACCTGAGCAGATGACACCAGCGTCTTCATTGTGGCCACAGTTATGGGAGAGCCAGCCGTTGTGGGGGCAGCTCCACAGGTAGGACTCATATCCTGAGCAGCGCATGTCATCCAGGACTATCGGCCCTGAGCCTTGGCCAAACCGGGCATTTCCTGGGGCGGATACAGCCCAGCCACAGCCAAGCTGCCTGCAGACCACATTGGCATCATTGGTGTCCCAGTAGTCATCACACACGGTGCCCCAGGAACCCTGGTACCGGATCTCCACCCGGCCCTTACACCGGTCACCTCCATTCACCAGCCTCAGGGCCAAATCTAGAGGAGAGGGAGATACAGAGATTTCACTTCTCTGTGCCTTGCCCTACACTGTGAGCAAAGACCCCAAAAAGACCTGACCGCTGAAACCCAGATTCCTCAGTGTGTTTTCCTGTTTGAAATTAAGCTCAACTTTCCTGACTCTTCAGTAGAGTTTACCCAACCTTGTGTCTTGAGGGGGCCTGCGTGGCATCATTAATTTCAGGTCCCACCGTGCTTCTGGCCTGACCTCTCAAGGCACGTTCCAATTGTGGCACCTGTCCTGCCCACGGCAACTCCTTCTCTCACAAATGGAAGTGCCCCACGTGAGCACAGCACTGTGTTGGGAATTATTCCAGACGCGCTACCTTCAGAAAACAAAGCAGGCTGCCAGGTGTCACTGGGAGAGCGAGGCTTGCTTCTAAGGTGCCTGTAACCCTGCACTTTATACTTCCACACTCCTGACACCTCTTTTCCTCCCTCCCTCATGCCCCAAGGTGCCAATTTTGAAAGCCTAATCATGGCAGATGATTTGGGGCATTTGCTAACGTGGGAACCTCAGATCTTGTACCAGAGCTTTACACGTATCATCTTAGCTAATTCTCAACTCTACCCCATGGAGAAACTGAGGCTCAAGAAGGTTACCCACTTGCTAGTCAACTGACTCACAAGTGACAGGACAGGGCATATCCTTAGGCCGTTGCTCTTAATCATTTCATGCTTCTGCCTCCTGCTATATATTTTTTTAATATTTGAAACATTTGACCCAACTCATGTCCTATGCTTTTGCACAAACAGGCACTCATATACCCACATAGGACTCTAATAAGATGAAGAAATACTGAGTAGAGGTAGTTACCATTTGAAGTACTAACTGGAGCAGAGTTTTTTTCTGTTGTAAATTTTAGAAAAGAAGAGAGGCTGGGCGCGGTGACTCAAGCCTGTAATCCCAGCACTTTGGGAGGCCGAGGTGGGTGGATCACGAGGTCAACAGATCGAGACCATCCTGGTCAACATGGTGAAACCCCGTCTCTACTAAAAATACAAAACATTAGCTGGGCACAGTGGCGCATGCCTGTAATCCCAGCTACTCAGGAGGCTGAGGCAGAATTGCCTGAACCCAGGAGGCGGAGGTTGCGGTGAGCCGAGATCGCGCCATTGCACTCCAGCCTGGGTAACAAGAGCGAAACTCCGTCTCAAAAAAAAAAAAAAAAAAAAAAAGAAAGAAAGAAGAGAAGAGAAAAAAATAAGGGATTATATATGTCCAAAAGTCCTCAGTTAGATGCTGCTGTACTCATGTGCCTCTGCTGCCCTGGTGACTGGGTGCAACCTCCCTGGACACCCAGTGGGGCAGACTGGGGGCAAAGATCAGAGGCAGGAGGTATGCATAGGTGTGGGGGGGGCGGGGATGGAGGCCCAGGGCCTGTCAGCTAGAAGGAGGAAAGGGCTGAAGGGCCCAATCCTGGCAACCCCACCAAAGGAAGTTCTTCCTGCCCTATGTCTAAACCCTAGCAACGCCTGGAGGCAGCGGCTCACCTGCCCTATGTCTAAACCCTAGCAATGCCTGGAGGCAGCGGCTCACCTGCCCTATGTCTAAACCCTAGCAATGCCTGGAGGCAGTGGCTCACCTGCCCTATGTCTAAACCCTAGCAACGCCTGGAGGCAGCGGCTCACATGTGTAATCTCAGCACTTTGGAGTCCAAGGCTGGAGGATCACTTGAGCCTAGGAGCTGCAGATCAGCTTGGCAACATGGAGAGACCTTGTCTCTACAAAGACTTAAAATAAACGAGCCAGGCATAGAGGTATGGACCTGTGGTCCCAGCTACTCCAGAGGCTGAGGAGGAAGGCTTGAGCCTGGAAGGTTGAGAATACAGTGAGCCATGTCAGGGCCACTGCACTCCATCCTGGACGACAGAACAAGACCCTGTCTCAAATTACATATGTACGTGTGTGTGTGTGTGTGTGTGTGTGTGTGTGTGTTTACACACATACATACATATATATTTTTTAAAAACAAAGCCCAGCAGAATGTTCTGCAGCAGGCCCTGCTGATTCCTTGGGGTGGCCTTGGGCACCACAACCCCCCAGCCCCAGAGCTTAGATACAGCGTTACCAGTTATCATGGGAGTCGTCTGTAAACCACCTTCTGTGGCGTCTATCACTGTTACTGTTGCTGAACCTGCAAAGCAAAAAGGCCAAGTGAGAGGTCATCTGAAAACAAGAGTTAGATCTGACACCCTTCCTAATTCAAGCAGGAGAGGGGGGTAACACCACATTTTAGTTCGGGGTTCACTGGGTTTGTCACTTGTTTATTAATTCAATCATTGAATATGGGATAATCTCTGATTGCACCATGAAGGACTAAAAGTCAGGGAGAAAAGAAGAAATTTATCCTAAAAAGTAAGTCTCAGTCCTCCAGAGCTCACAGGCCACTTGGGCAGACACAACTTGGTGCCTGATCATTTTTATTTGGCCTAATAGGGGCCCAGAGTAGAGGAGAAGTGGAAACCTCAGAGGGAGAAACTCACAGGGCCTCTCGCAGCAGGAACTATCCAGAGAGAAGTGGATATTTGGCAGGCATGATGGCTCATGTCTGTAATCCCAGCACTTTGGGAGGCTGAGGCAGGCAGATCACAAGGTCAGGAGTTCGAGACCAGCCTGACCAACATGGTGAAACCCCATCTCTACTAAAAATACAAAAATTAGCTGGGCATGGTGGCACATGCCTGTAATCCCAGCTACTCAGGAGGCTGAGGCAGGAGAATCTCTTGGACCTGGGAGGTGGAGGTTGCAGCAAACTGAAACTGCACCATTGCACTCCAGCCTGGGTGACAGAGCAAGACTCCATCTCAAAAAAATAAAAATAAAAAAGAGAGGAGTGGATATTTCACATAGACTTGGATGGAGACATAAACATGTGTCAACAGAAAATGGGGTGAAAGTAGAATTACCATATAAAATATAAAACATCCAGTTATATTTGAATGTCATATAAATAAGAAATACTTCTTAAATATAAGTATGTACCAAATATTGCATGGGACACACTTACACTAAAAAATATATATATAAACTAACACCATAAAAACTCTAGAAGAAAACCTAGGCAAAACCATCTAGGACATAGGCATAGGCAAGGACTTCATGACTAAAACACCAAAAGCAATGGCAACAAAAGCCAAAATAGACAAATGGAATCTGATTAAACTCCAAAGCTTCTGTACAGCAAAAAAAACCATCAATAGCGTGAACCAGCAACCAACAGAATGGGAAAAAAATTCTGCAATCTACCCAACTAACAAAGGGCTAATATCCAGAATCTACAAAGAACTAAAACAGATTTACAATTAAAAAAAACAACCCATTCAAAAGTGGGTGATGGATATGAACAGACACTTCTCAAAAGGACATTTATAAGGTCAACAAACATATGAAAAAATGCTCATCCTCACTGGTCAGTAGAGAAATGCAAATCAAAACCACATTGAGATACCATCTCACACCAGTTAGAATGGCGATCATTAAAAAATCTGGAGACAACAGATGCTGAAGAGGATGTGGAGAAATAGGAACACTTTTACACTGTTGGTGGGAGTGTAAATTAGTTCAACCATTTGGAAGACAGTGTGGCACTTCCTCAAGGACCTAAAAATAGAAATTCCATTTGACCCAGCAATCCCATTACTGGGAATATATCCAAAGGATTATAAATAGTTCTATTATAAAGACACATGTACACATATGTTCATTACAGCACTGTTTACAATAACAAAGACCTGGAACCAACCCAAATGCCCATCGATGATAGACTGGACAGGGAAAATGTGGCACACATACACCATGGAATAATATGCAGCCATAAAAAACAATGAGTTCGTGTCCTTTGTAGGGACATGGATGAACCTGGAAATCATCATTCTCAGCAAACTGACATAAGAACAGAAAATCAAACATCGCATGTTGTCACTCATAGGTGGGTGTTAAACAATGAGAAAACATGGACACAGGGAGGGGAGCATCACACACTGGGGTCTGTTGGGGAGAACAGGGGAGGAACAGTGGGGCTAGGGAGGTTAGGAAGTGATAAAAAAAAAAGAAAAAAAATATTTTATATCTGAAATTCACATTTCAGTGGGTGTCCCATATTTTTATTTGAGGAATCTGGTAACTCTGGATAAAAGGTACCCCAGAGGCAACAGCAGGCAGGAAACTCTCTTCACTAACCTTCAGTTAAACCCCAGCCAGGTCAACTGAAGCTCTCCATCCTCTGTAACCCACTGAGCATGAGTGTGGGTGAGCCAAGCACACTTCACACACCTGGCAGGTTCCACTCCAATCGACCGCATTGTGTGGTCATCTAGAGTCAAATGTGAATCCCAAACCTATTTGTGCCAGTGGTACTTGGCATGACATTAACCTAAATATGGAATAAATTAGTGAAATATGAGTACAAAAAGAAAGATGTCTTTCTACAAAGATAAGGCAGAATGCTTTGGAAAGACTGAATAAATTAAGTTGCTAAAAAGCACCAGGTGGGCGCATCCCACCTGCAGGCTTACCCACCTGATGTTTTTTTTAGCAACTTATTCAGTAGAAGAAAGATATATATATATTTTTTTAAAGTAGATGAAAGGTATATAAAACAATAGAACTTTTGCACTTTTATTTGCTTTGCAAATGCTTTTAATTTCAGGTTCCTCTTTAGAGAAACCAAAATTAGAAATAACAGATGATGCATAATGGGTGTGGTTTATGCCAGAAAAATACTGCAGGACTACTGAAGATCCCTGCAGAGAGAGAGGCCGACATCAACAAATTAGAGAATCAGTGTATGTATTATATATTTTAAGTTAAAACAAAATATCTAAAGTATATGTATCATATTTTCTGATTTCCCATTGTAAACAACTTTTTTGAGTAATCGACCAACTACCTGTCTCAGTCACGTTAGAAAAGAGTTCTTCTAGGGAAATGATTCCAAACTGGGTCCCATGCAGCATCATCCAGCACCTGGAAACTTGTTGAAAATGTGAAGCCTTAGCCTCACCCAGACTTACAAAGTCAAGAACTGTGGAGGTGGCACTCCACGCTGTATTTTCAGAAGCACTCCCGTGATTCTAACACACACTAAGCTTCAAAAGTGCTGTTCTGCAGCGTATATAAGGGGAACAGTAGCCGCAATGTCATTAGGGTGGTAAGGGAGAATTCATTTACAACCACATACTGAGCTGCAGCTATACTAGATGCTCTTCCGCCAGGCAGGAAGAATATTGAGATTATATGACACCTCCACTGCCCTTTGGAGTTAGGCTGTAGTGGGTGAGACGTACAGGTAAGCAATTAGTAGCCATAGCAAACATACAGGTAAGCAAGCAGAGCATAGCAAACTAAGGGCTCCAATGGAGGGATGTTCAGGAGCCTGGCAGCAGGTCACATGTGATTGATCCTCAAGTCAGACAATCACTGAGCTATACCAGGCAGGATGGACAGAAGGGAGCCAGGCAGAGGCGAAGGTCCAAATTAAAATTAGCACTAGGAAGTAGAGACACCAAGCATGAATAAACTGCTCCTTCGAAACAAGCTCCTAAGAATAAAACTACAAACTATGCAAAACTTCTTGAGCGCCTCCTGGCAGACAGAGAAGAACCAGGTTTCCGGATGGAAACACTGAGCATAGAAATGTTGACCGTTCGACACTAATTCATAGGTTTCATATCATTTTTACCAAAGGGTTTTTCTTTGTTTGACTAGTTCTTTCGAAAAATAATTCTATAGTTCCTCAGGACAGATAAATAGGTTAAAAATAACTGATAAATTCTTGAAAATTAAAAAATACTGACAGGGCAGGGTATTAGGAAGATGGAAATGGGGATGGGAGAACCTGTGTTCCCCATGGACTTGGGAAGAAGATGACCAGGGTTCAAGTTCTACCTCTGCCATGTATTTTTTTCTCTGAACACAGGTAAGTCAGGTGACCTCACTGGTCTTCATTTCCTCATTTGTAAAAGGGTGATTATGCTACTTTATAAGGTTATTGTGAAGAAAAAGTCAGAAAACCTAAGTCAAATGTTTAGTACTGTGTTTGCCACGTAACAGCACTCAAAAAATTATTTGCTCAAAATTAATAAAATAAAGTGAGATAAAGTAAATTATAGCTATAAAAATTAAAATCTAGGCTGGGCACAGTGGCTCACACCTGTAATCCCAGCACTTTGGGAGGCCAAGGTGGGTGGATCACAAGGTCAAATGTCAAGACCATCCTGGTCAACGTGGTGAAACCCCGTCTCTATTAAAAATACAAAAAATTAGCTGGGCACGGTGGTGCGTGCCTGTAATCCCAGCTACTCAGGAGGCTGAGGCAGGAGAATTGCCTGAACCCAGGAGGCGGAGGTTGCGGTGAGCCAAGATCACGCCATTGCACTCCAGCCGGGGTAACGAGCGAAACTCCGTCTCAAAAAAAAAAAAAAAATTAAAATCTAGAAAAAAACCTGTCAGATATTTCCCTCACACCAGAAAGCAAAATAATTTTCAGAACTAAATAGCTATTTTTTAAATGCACAAAAATAAGAATAGTTACATTTTATCTGATTCCTGTTAGAAATTTCTAGATCTAAAAATCAATAGAAGAAATTAGCCAGGCGTGGTGGCTCATGCCTGTAATCCTAGCACTTTAGGAGGCTGAGGCAGGTGGATCACCTGACCTCAGGAGTTCAAAACCAGCCTGGCCAACAGGGTGATATCCCATCTCTACTAAAAATACAAAAATTAGCCAGGCGTGGTGGTGGGCACCTGTAGTCCCAGATACTCAGGAGGCTGAGGCAGGAGAATTGCTTGAACCCAGGAGGCAGATGTTGCAGTGAGTCAAGATCATGCCACTTGCTCTGGGCAACAGAGCAAGACTCTGTCTCAAAAAAAAAAAATTAATAGAAGAAATCAAAAAGAAAAACAGCAGTACATTTAATTACACAAAAATATAAAATGTGTGTGCAGAAAAAAATCAAATTCAAAATTAAAAGGCAAACCACAAACTGGGAAAATATTTGTCATCAATATAATCCTAAAGTGTAAGTACCCAAAATACAGAGTTTAGATCATCAATAAAGACGACACTAACTTTAACGAAATTTGGACACAGGACATAAACAGATGATTCAAAGTAAAGGAGTACAAATGGCTTAAAAATGTTCACTCTCACTATAAGCTAAGTGCAAAGTTAACTGACTGTGCCATTTTTCCATCCAGCAGTTCAGTCAAGACTTTTGAACAGTAACTTCAGAGCTGGTGAAAGTGCAGAAATTGCTACTCACGTTTTTTACTGGTAGGAGTAAGAATTGGCACATTTCTGGAAAATGATTTGTTTTATTTATTTATTTATTTTGAGACATAGTCTCACTCTGTCACCCAGGCCGGAGTGCAGTGGCACAATCTCGGCTCACGGCAACGTCTACCTCCTGGGTTCAAGTGCTTCTTGAAACAAACACACACTGGTACCTTCCTACTAAGTTGACTCCAGGTTTTATTTGGATTTCACCAGTTTTCCATTTCTGTTCCAGGACCTAATCCAAGAGCTCGCATTACATTTCAGAAGCTGCATTTGGATAAAACATTAGGAAACACGTCTAGAGTAGCAACACTAAATAGTTCTGAGACTCTGTCCACCTGCCAGACAGACACTGCATAGGTTGGAACATAACCCCCACATATAAATGAGTAAACTGAGGCTCTCAGAGTCTCCATGTGGGCAAGTGGCAGAGCAGGGGCATTTCTGGGGCCAGCAGTGGGTACCACAGCACAAACCTGGGCAGACCGAGTTTTTCTCAAGAGTTTGCATGAAGACCAGAGCTGACAGGTGCCTGCTACCTCGGTACTTCCAGTGCAAAGCTCTGTGGCCAGGCTCCAAACACTGAGTTAGATGCTGTGGTTCAGTTCATCGCCTCAGCTCCTTGCAAGGAGCAGCAAGGGCCAGTGGCCAGAGCTGCCATCTGATTGACAGTGAACTTTCATCCGGATTCAAGCCCTAACCCAGCCATTCACCAGTAATGTCTTTGGACAAGCCAATAATTGTTCTGAGCCTCAGTTTCCCCATCTGAAAAGTGGAAATAATTGTTCCTAACCTCAGGGATGTTAGCAAATTTAAATAAGAGAACACAGGTCCACTTCAGAGAGGATTAATTCCCACCTCTGAGTGGCAAATACAGACACACATGTGTGCATGCCTGTCCATATGCACACACATAACATCATGGGCAAACTACAAATTTCCTCCACCAAAGAGCACTGCTGCCTGTTTTTCCTTTGTCAATAAAGACAGGACAATTCACTCCCGGTCTATAGTGGCTGATGTGAATTCCATGTCACAATTCAGAGACAATCTGGAGGGTGAACTCCGTACTGATGAGAGCTGGGGCTGAGGATGTGGCCTTCCAATTTCAGATGCCTCTGATGAAGGCAGGATGAGGATGCTCAGTCTCCACTCCCCTGGGGTCCTGGGCCTGGTGGCCTCCAGCCCCTCCACACCATGCACACACTGAGTGCACATGCTGGTCACAGGGCGTGGGCCTGCTCCCTACCACCTGGGTGTGAGAGCTGGGTCTGGGGGTGCTGCTTTCATGAAAGCAACCTCCCAAATGAATCTTAATCTTCATAGCTTTCCCCACTGAGCCCAAGGGGAGAATGAGAGTTCTGGAAATTATCTGAAAATTAGGTGATTTTTACCCTGTCTCCTGAAATTCATGAATCTAGCAAAAGGTGACACAAAAGAAAAAACATGGCAGTAGGAAAGATAAAAGAGAAGAAGGAAGAAAGAAATGAATAGGCTGGGCGTGGTGGCTCACGCCTGTAATCCCAGCACTTTGGGAGGCCGAGGCGGGTGGATAACGAGGTCAGGAGATCGAGACCATCCTGGTCAACATGGTGAAACCCCGTCTCCACTAAAAACACAGAAAAATTGGCTGGGCATGGTGGCACGTGCCTGTAGTCCCAGCTACTCAGGAGGCTGAGGCAGGAGAATTGCCTGAACCCAGGAGGCGGAGGTTGCGGTGAGCCGAGATCGCGCCATTGCATTCCAGCCTGGGTAACAAGAGCGAAACTCCGTCTCAAAAAAAAAAAGAAATGAATAAAGGGAGGGAGAGAAACAAAAAGGGAAAGAAGGAAGGTAGAAAGAAAGTAGAAACAGAGGGAGAAAAAGAGAGAAGTAGGAAGGGAAGGTGATAATAGCTGCCCAATAGCTGAAGAGAGAGACAGAGACAGATAGAGAGAGAGAGAAAGGTGATTCTACCTGCTCAATAAACAGAGACAGAGACAGCGAGAGAAACAGAGATGGGGAGGAGGGAGGGAGGAAAGGTACTAACTGCCTGATAGATGAAAGAGACAGGAAGATGCAGTGAGCAGGGCAGGGAGAGAAAGGCAGAGACAGAAACAGAGAGAGAAGGAGGGAGAAAAGGTGATATCTGCCAAAAGATGGGAGAAGAGGAGAAACACAGAGAGACAGACAGAAACAGAGAGAGAAGAGAAGGAGAAACACAGAGAGACAGACAGAAACAGAGAGAGAAGAGAAAACGTAGCAATAACTACATGGTAGATAAGAAAGAAAATACACACACAGAGAGAGACACAGGCAGAGAGAGACAGAGAGAGAGACAAATAGGCAAACTGAGAATCACTTGTTCCCTTCGTATCTCTGCAAAGTACCATTGAGATGCAGCAATCAGAGTGCTTTGCCGATGACTCTCACATCTATCATCTGACACTCTAAGAGCCTACAGCTATGCTTGAGTGACTGCGCTTCAAGTGTTTGTTTAAAGCTGGGCATGACACACAAACTTGGAATTCCAAGACAAACTTGGGATCTTAATGATCTTGTCTGTGCTCAGTTACTTGACCTGATTTTGCTCGGCAAATATTAGCCATCAAGCCCAGACACACTTGTAGAAAGAAGCCACATAAAGGGCATTTACAGTGGGAATCTTTTCTGCCCATTTTCATCGTGCACAAATTGTGTGCTTAACCAATTGCTGCAAAGTTTGAGAGCCTCTTAAGAGTACACATTTACCTTTCCTGAATTTCAGGGATTTTTCTAAGACCAATCAATCATTCCTTTAGTTGAATGACTTACTGAAAACGCTGACAGAATGATTGGCTTTTTCTAACTACAACCATTTACGTTTCTCATCCAGAAACAAAACAAAAAAGAGCCATTCCTCTCGAACACCTGCAAACAATTACAATCATCAGCAAAGGACTACCCACTCTTTGATATAAAACTTCCCTTGGTAGATAACATTTGCCATGACTGGGTCTGCAGGAGTGAAATTGATGAATATAATAATTAAACATAATACCTGTAGGTAGAACTTGTCCCCACAAAAGACATATTTCAAGGATGACTGTGGAAATCCCCATTTTGCTGGGTTCTTCTCAATTGAAGAGAAAATCCTTGACATTTATAGGTCCCTATCCAAAAGGAGGTGTGCCCTCTGGGGTGGTATATCTACTGCTGCTATAAATCAATATAAAGGAAGTGAGGGCTTTCGGTAACAGTCGATGGCTAATCTGTGGGAGAAACCTAGGCGTGTTTGATCGATTGTCATATGAACAATTTGGCTGTTGTCCAACTGCAAATGCAGTGACATCAGTGAACAATTTCCAACTTCCTTCTAGGTGAACCTCGAAGGCTCTCAAGTGTTTCCTGAATACAGGCTTGATTTTCATCCTGGAGAGTTCAAGTAAACCTGTGGGAACCTTGGGGCAGAGCAGGATGTGGGCTGCTCGGCAAATACAGGACACGGTGCCAAAGGGGAAAGCATCTCTTTGGGATGGTTTTTCCTGGCAGGACATTCTCTCATTGGCCCCTGTGCAGTGCGTGCAACCTCACCTTGGAAGAACAAGGATGACGTGAGCGAGGATGTGACTGGAGAGAAGCCATGAGGGAAGATTCCGTGGAGACCATGGGTCCATAGCAGCTTTGGCCACAGTCTTCTGGGTCTCACACTAATTCCACAACAGGAAACACATGAGGTCATGAGAAACACATGACCTCAAACTAAACCACCTCCAGCCATTTCACAGTTTTGATTTCTTGTCCTTGACATGCACATTGTATGATGCTCGGAGCTTGGCAAACCCACAAAACCTGCCCCTCACCTCCACCTACCTTGCACACAATCCCCCTCCTGGGGCTTACTAGGTAAATATCACTTCAGTCTTTGTAATGCTCAGAAGTCATCACCAGACTCTGAAAACCCACTCCCTATCCCCACCACTCTACTGAGAAGGTTGCCTGACAGTGATTTTTTTTTTTTTTTTTGAGACAGAGTTTCACTCTTGTTACCCAGGCTGGAGTGCAATGGCACGATCTCGGCTCACCGCAAACTCTGCCTCCTGGGTTCGGGCAATTCTCCTGCCTCAGCCTCCTGAGTAGCTGGGATTACAGGCACGCGCCACCATGCCCAGCTAATTTTTTATATGTTTAATAGAGATGGGGTTTCACCATGTTGACCAGGATGGTCTCGAGCTCTTGATCTCGCGATCCACCCGCCTCGGCCTCCCAGACATTGATTTTTGAACCAAGACACTTTTGATGGCCAGTAACTGTTGGTTGAAAGCAGACAGCTTTCCAGGACTTGCCTCTGTTTTCCTAACCTGGATGAGCTGTGCCCTGTTCCTCAGCTGGGAGGCTGAGGCCATCAAATGACACTTGGCTTCTTTGCCATGCACTGTTCATCTGTGCTGTATTCTAGAAGGGTACCATGAACCCATGTCCTGTGTCAGCCACCAGTCAGAATTTAGGGCTGGAGGTCTGCCTTTGGCTTCATCCAGATGAAAGTTACATTCAGTCCTTGATTCCCTTTTTCATCCTACAACTCTTCTTACTGCTTCCAGGCGCCTCTTCTCCCCTTGAGGAGAACAGGCACACAGAATAGGCTCACTGTGTTTCATCCTCCCACTGTCAGCTCAGCAGCTGATAAGCCCTGGGTGATGAGAGAACAGGGTTACTCATCTACTAGGGAATGCCCAAGACCAGACACATGCTGAGTTCCTCTTAGAAGGGAGGATCCCTTGCTTCCTGGGGTGTTGGGCTAATGATTATGCAGCTGGGTCTAGGATCCTCAGGGTGTCAACCAATTAGCACTGCCTGCCATAAGCACAGCAGGGAAAAATGATGGTAAGAATACTAAATATCTGTGAACAAGAAGGGGAAAAGTGTCCTTCCTAGACAAAAGCAGACTGCCTGGTGACAATTTAACAGGGGGTAGCAAGTATTAGTACAAGCTGCTATGAGAACATAAAGAAAAGCATCTAAATAGGCTGGCAGAGGCTGCTCTCAGAGCTAGAAGACTGGATGAGGGACAGGAGAGATTCCCCCGGCTGTGCAGGAACAGCCTTCTTGAGAACTGTGTGTGATTTTTGGAACTGCCCAATCTCCCTGTTTTTGTCATTTGGTGACCGCACGCTTTGCCCACGGTGCTTAGCAGCAAAGATCCTAAGACAACAAGGGCTTGTGAGCTTTCTGTTCAGGAGATACCGGGAAGAAGGAAGGGGCGAAGCCTAGCTGTCATTTCAAAGCCAAGCCAGGTGGGCATCCCAGGCAGGAAGTGGGTGACGTCAGTGGAAGAGGATGGATGTGGTGGTCCTGGGCGGGTGGACAGAAGGCAATAGGACTGAGGGCCACCTGCCAACACCCTGTCAGTCCTCGGGCTTCACCGTCAGGTGCCCCATCTTGTCCCGAGGCCATTTTGTGGCTCGTAAGACACCATTTAGAGAGGTCTTTCTTGGATGAAGAGGAAGGTTTAGGGGTACAACCCCCTCCAGCAGCAGCCCCTCCCAGAGGACCCTCATCTTCCCCTGCCTACTGGCTAGAAGCACGGTGTGGAAGACCACAGCCACGAAGTTCCATTTTATTCACCACAAAACTGCCATGAAGAGCAAAAGAGAGCAAGAGAAGCCCATTGAAGCTCGGAGACTTGGCACCCAGGCCCCATTTGCAAAGCACCTTCCCCAGGCAATTTCAAGCCAGTGGCACCCCACAGCACTCTCCAGGAGGTGGGACCGAGCCCCTAAACCCCAGCACCGGAGGCCTGGTCTTCATGGGGAAGAGCCTCCTACAGCGGTCATATGTGACTTTTTTTTTTTTTTTTGACAGAGTGAGACTCTGTCACCAGGCTGCAGTGCAGTGGCACTATCTTGGCTCACTGCAACCTCCACCTCCCAGGTTCAAGTGATTCCCCTGCCTCAGCCTCCTGAGTAGCTGGAAACACAGGTGTGTACCACCATGTCCAGCTAATTTTTATATTTTTACTAGAGACAGGGTTTCACCACGTTATCCAGGATGGTCTTGATTTCCTGGCCTCATGATCCGCCTGCCTCAGCCTCCCAAAGTGCTGGGATTACAGACATGAGCCACCACACCCAGCCATATGTGGCATTTTTTAAAGCTGCAGAATCCTTTCCTAAATTGGAATTCATGGGGTAGCCCCAAAACATAAAACAGGCCAGTGAAAGGGTCCTGACTGTGGTCAGGGTTTCCCCTTCCAGGCCCCTCCCCTACGGCCATCTGCCAACAGAACTGAGGATTCCTGTGGGAGGCCAAGTCCTCCCTTCATTAGACAGGGCATCGAGAGGGCCAGCAGGGATCCTGGGGCTGTCAGGCACACACCCCTACCTGAAGCTGAGCTGGGGTCCCAGGCAGATTCCCCAGAACATCCCACTGTTCTCCTTCTTCGAAAGATTCTTTCTCCTCACAGACCAGTGCCCTGGGAAGCCAGAGGAAGATGGAGAGCAGGGAGTCAGCCCAGGGTTCCTCCCACCTCCCACCTCTGAGGGGTCTCTGATTTCTGAGCCAAGAGGCCTGTGACCTGACAGACAGACCAGGGGGACAGAAGAATGGGAGCCTTGCAGGAAGGTTCGGGGCTATAGCACCTTCAGGCAGCTGCCATTTGGCTTCCAGCCTCTGCATCCCGTAATCTCTGTGACCAGGGCTCCACTTCAGGTGTCAGTCTGACCCCAAACTCTAATTTTGCCCTCACTGAGTAACACACCTAATTGTCGGTCATTGTTACCCTTCTAACAGTCTTTTGACGTTGAATGTCTGATATTTATAATGTTCATTTTTGTTGCTCAGAGTAGTCGTCTTCCCAAACAGTTATAAGGGCACTCCTTCCTACCCTCCTTCACTCACTCTGGGTCACCCCCCCACCACCCCACAACTCCCTGCTGTGCTTTGAGGACCAGAGTCCCGTTGTCTCCTGCTTTACCTCTGTAATCCCAGTGCCCCAGGCAGAAAGAGCAGATGCTCGGTAGGCATTGGCTTTGGAGGTGAGTGTTGTGAGCAGCTCACCCCTGCTGTCCAGGGGTCCCTGGAAAGAAGCCTGTGGTTCAGCGGGGCTGGTGATGAGCCAGTTCTCCTTCACCATTCAGCCTCCAGCTGGGGCCAATGAGGTCCAGAGAGAGGAAATGACACACAGTGCTGAGACCACATCTAGAACAGCACTCACAGCAGATGCCGCCTCCCATCTGAAGGACAGATGAGCTCCATGTTCATCAGGATGCCATCCAACTGCGGAATCTTCCAGCAACAAACAGCCCTCTAGGGACCCCTGGCACACAGAAATCCCATTGTATGCCTCCCATCTTGCTCAGAGTAAGGCTGAAAGCACTCCCATGGTTGATAAGGCCCTGCATGAGATACCCCTTCCTCTCTCTCCCCGTCTCCCACTCTAACCATCATCCAGCCCCAGGGCCTTTGCACTTGCTGCTCCCTCTGTCTGAAGACTTTTTCCCCAAATGGCTGGAGACTCACTCCTTCCCTCATCCAGAGGTTTGCTAACATGCAACTCCTCCATGCAGCCCTACCGACTGGCCCTCCCCAGCACTCCCTAACACTCGCCCCCTCTCCCCACAGCACTCCTCACCATCCAGCCTTCTTCTATTTTACTTCTTTATTCTTTTGCCTATCTGCTCCCACTAAAATGCAAGCCATACAAGGTGGGATTTTTGTCTGTTTTATCCATTGTTGCATATTCAGAACCTAGAACAATGCTTCATACAAATAGTAGATGCTCAGGAAATATCTGCAGCTGGGCCGGGCGCAGTGGCTCACGCCTGTAATCCCAGCACTTTGGGAGGCCAAGGTGGGTGGATCACTTGAGGTCAGGTGTTTGAGACCCACCTGGCCAATATGGCAAATCCTGTCTCTACTAAAAATGCTAAAAATTAGCTAGGTGTGGTGGCACATGCCTGCAGCCCCAGCTACTCAGGAGGCTGAGGCAGAGGACTCTCTTGAACCCGAGAGGCAAGGGTTGCAGTGAGCCGAGATCACACCACTGCACTCCAGCCTGGGCAACAGAGTGAGACTCCATCTCAAAAAGAAAAATATAGATATATCTGCAGACTGAATTGAAACAGTGAGCATGGGCAGATCTGGAAAAGGAGGACCAGGCCCCTCTGCACAGATGGTTCTAGTGAGTTCTGCATTTGCTGAAGGATAATGT